CCAACTCATAGTGACCCTATAGGATAGAGTAGAACTGCCTCGTAGGGTTTCCAAGGAGCGGCTGGTGGATTCGAACTGCCGACCTCTTGTTTAGCAGCTGGTCTCTTAAGCAGTGTGCTACTAGGGCTCCTTATTTTTTTATTATCAATTATTTATTAGTAATAATAAAGCAGAGCCCTGGTGGCACAGTGGTTAAGAGCTTGGCTGTTAACCAAAAAGTCGGCAGTTCCAATCCACCAGCTGCTCCTTGGAAGCCCTATGGGGCAGTTCTACTCCGTCCTGTAAGGTGGCTATGAGTCAGAATCGACTCGATGGCAACTGGCTTGGTTTTGGAATAATAAAGCAACTCTTAAACGTTATGATAGTTCACCTTTCATTAAATATTTTTTTCTCAATATATAATCCAGTGTAACAAAAAAAAAAAAACTCTAAATGAATCCCACTCTAAATACTTATAGCTTAAATTACAGGAACTCAAAAATAACAACAAAAATAAAAACACATGCACATACTCTTTGAGACTCAATGAAAGCAAAGTTAGTCTGCTACCATCTAGTTGCAGTTGAATGACTCTAAGAAAAGAAAGTACTTACCGAGGGATGTATCACCAAACACAAACATCTAGAGTTTAGGTAGAGCTACAGTCCGCCTGCACAATTGGACCAGAATTAGATCCACCTCCCCTGGTTGTTTCTGCAGATTTTCATGAACTTGACCTTTGGACAAAACCAAGCAAAAACATCATGAAGTAGATTGTTCCCTTTGCCTATATAATTTCTGCCACCCTTCAAATAACACCTATTTGTCACGCAATGCTTTACCAGACCAGATGGGCAATAATTAAAAATTGACCAAAAAAACCTCATACACTGCTACCAAGCATATAATTTTTGAAAAGAGTTTGGCATTACTTAGTAAAGATAACAAGTGCATATCTTATGACCCAGCAATTCCTCTCTAGGTATATACTCTAGAGCAGTGGTTCTTAACTTCCAGTACACAGATCGGGTCTATGGATAGAATTCAGGGGATCTTATAACTTGAATAGGGAAAAGTTTTATCTTTATCATCACCAACTTCTAACTGAAATTAATCATTTCCTTTCATTATCAATGTAGGAAACAAATCACACTATTATTAGCAGGACCTGTGATTTGTGACCAATAAAATCATATTGTTAGATTCCATGGCAGTTGTTGCAAATATATTAAAATGTCTTTTATACTCATCACTACTTCAAAATTATTATAGCTGTTACACCCACCGTTAGATTTTGATATTTAGTGCCTTTACAATGACGTATGCTTATTTCTTTATCAAGAACTTGCTTTACATTTTGATGACTGTTTTTGCTGTTGTTTTGTGTCCTTGAGTCAATTTCGACTCACAGCAAGCCTATATGACAGAGTACACCTGCCCCATAGGGTTTTGTAGGCTGTAATCTTTACTGGAGCAGATTGCCAGGTCTTTTCTCCTGCAGAGCCGCTGATGGGTTTGAACCACTGATCTTTCGGTTAGCAGCCCAGTGCTTAACCATTGCCCTACCAGGGCTCCTTCTGATGATCTAGTTCAATATAATTGATTTTCTTTGTAACCCTACGTATTCGTAAACATTTAAAAAGACGAGGCAAATGAAATTTCCCAGTATATCAGTGAAGGGAGAGCACAGAATTACTGCCATATGCTTTACTAGTTTTGCTTCTCCAGAGAATCCAGCCTAAGACACCTCTGATATATTTCCTAAGTCCCTGAGTGGTGCAAATAGTTAATGTACTCAACTGTTAACTGAAAAGTGAAAGGTTCCAGACACCCAGAGGTGCCTCAGAAAAAAGACCTGGTTATCTACTGCCAAAAAGTCAGCCACTGAAGACCTAGGGAGCAAAATTCTACTCTGACACACATGGAGTCACCATGAGTCAAAATAGACACCACAGCAATTGAGTTTTGGGGTGTTTTTTTTTTCCTTCCCTCTTCTTTAGCTTTCTGTTTCACCCAACCTAGATTATAAATTACAAGAGGGCAAGAACTTTGGTCTGTTGTTCACCTCTGTACCCAGTTTCTGGAAGAGTGCCTGGTGAATAGATAGAATTTGATAAGCATTGGTTGAATTCGTGAATAGTTAATTTCAGGAAAACAACAACAAAAACTGTAAAAAATCAGTTTAACCATATAGATCCAGTCCTGGCACATGATGCTTTGTTTAGTGTTACTTAATTAGAAATAGATGCCCCTTCTCTGGAAAATCGAAGGCATCCTTCCTGAAATTACCAGTTTTAAAAAGCCTCCCTTCTTCTGAACAGATGAGTTCAGAAGCACTTGCACAAGGCACAACCAGTACAATCACAGGTGACAGCCCTGTAATAATTCCATAGTCCTAATAATGTAAGCAATATTACTTCAATGTTTGGAATAATGTAATTATAAATTAGCATAACATAAACCTTGATACAATGTAAATTAGTAATGTGATCAGTTAACTAATTACTAATAATGTGATCATTATTAGATGTGGGAAGGGAAGTGCATTTGGGGGGGGAGTGGTATGTAGGACACCTAAAACCGCTTCTTCCATAGAAAGAAATCAGTAGATACTAAATACAACTGAAAAAAATTAAGAAACAGCAGAATATGCCTATTATTTAGGAATATGAAAACAATCTTTAGAAGAAACCCCTTAAAGATGTTGAAAGCGGTTATTCTGGGGACCAGGAACAAGGGATAGGGAGTACTATATCAGAGGTCTGCTGTTTTGCTTTTAAGACTTACAAAACTATTTGATTTCAAACTATGTATCATTAAATTTGACTTTTTTAACTCTCACTTGGTGGCCCGATTACTCAGAGTTCCTGAGAAATTTAATCTAAAGCATTATTAGGAGCATTCCAAAGTTATGCTGAGGTTAGCAACGGGCACTGAGAACGCACTCAGTGCAAAAAGTTAAGGCCCGGTTGGTATTTTCTGCATGTCCATTACACCATATACAACTTAACCACACACACACACACACACAATACAAAACTCGTTGCTTGTCGATTCAAACTTATGGCAATCCCACGTGTTACAGAGTAGAACTCAGCTCCATACAGTTTTCTTGGCTCTAATCTTTACAGAAGCAGATCGCCAGGCCTTTCTTCCGCAGGGCTGTTAAGTGGGTTTGAACTACCAACCCCTCAGTTAGTGGCCAAGAGCAAACCATTTGCACCATCCAGGGACCTTATAAACAATTTGTTGTTGTTAGGTGCCCTTGAATTGGTTCCGACTTATAGTGACCCTGTGTACAAGAGAACTTAACACTGCCCAGTCCTGCACCATCTTCACAGTTGTTATGTTTGAGCTCATTGTTGCAGCCACTGTGTCAGTTCATCTTGTTGAGGGTCTTCCTCTTTTTTGCTGACCCTCTACCTTACCAAGCATGATGCCCTTCTCCAGGGTGTGGTCTTTCCTGATAACAGGTCCAAAGTATGTGAGACGAAGTCTCACCATCCTCGCTTCCAAGGGGCACTCTGGCTGTACTTCTTCCAAGACAGACTTGTTGCTTCTTTTGGCAGTTCATGGTATGTGGCAATACTGTTCACCAACACCATAGTTCAAAGGCATTAATTCTTCTTTGGTCTTCCTTATTCACTGTCCACCTTAACCCCGACAAAAACCTCTCTGGTTTTGTAGCAGAGTATTACATATGCATGCACCCATCCATCCATACTTCCTTCTCAGTGGACATACATACACACTTTGTACCACAAACGTATGAATTTTATGCAACTGCAATTGGAACATATGAGGTGGTAGACCCCAAACTGTGGAGCAGGACAGAGCTCAACATTCAGCTAATTCTAATATCCTCTGTGACATTTGAGGCAAAAGATTTGGGGCAACATCCAGAGACACATCCAAACTCCCTGAGGGACCGAATTACTAGGCCGAGCTGTGGAGACCATGGTCTGGGAGGAACATCTAGCTCAACTGGCATAACATCATTTGTAAAGAAAGTGTTCTACATTCTACTTTGATGAGTAGCATCTGAGGTCTTAAAAGCTTGTGAGTGGCCATCTAAGATACTCTACTGGTCTCACCCAGTCTGGAGCAAGGGAGAATGAAGAAAACGAGAGACACAAAGGAAAGATTAGTCCACAGGACTAATGGACCATAACTGCCACAGCCTCTACCAGACTGAGTCCAGCACAATTAGATGGTGCCGCGCTACCACCACTGACTGCTCTGACAAGGATTACAATAGAGGGCCCCAGACAGAGCTGGAGAAAAATGTAGCACACAGTTCTAACTCACAAAAAAAGACCAGACTTACGGGCCTGACAGAGACTGGAGAAACCCCAAGAGTATGGCCCCCGGACACCCTTTTAGGTCAGTAATGTAGTCAGTCCTGAGGTTCACTATTCAGCCAAAGATTAGACAGGCCCATAAAACAAAACAAGACTAAAGGGTCACACCAGCCCAGGGCAAGGACTAGAAGACAAGAGGGGACAGGAAAGTGGGTAATAGGGAACCGAAGGTCGAGAAAGGGAGAGTGTTGACACGTCTTGGGTTTGGTAACCAATGTCACAAAACAATGTGTGTACTAATTGTTTAATGAGAAGCTCGTTTGTTCTGTAAACCTCCGTCTGAAGCACAATAATTAAAAAAAAAAAAAACTTGGGGGCGGGCAACAAAAGGTGACTTAACAGGTCAGGGTGACGCAAAACATTCCTGGCGTCGTGCCTGCTGAAGACCACAAGCGAGCAAGCCCTCGGGGCCGCCCTCCCGACCGGGGCGGAGCTGGCCCCGCCGAGACCCACCCCGCCGTCTGCGTCTGCCACTGGTGCAGTCACGTCCCTTTCCCTGTTGGGAAGCAGGAAGGGGATGCCGGAGAGATCACTGGCTGGTTTCCCCTTCTCTGCAGTCCTCGAAGCCTCGCCATGCTTGCCCTCCGAAGCGGCCTGACCAGGGCCCTGGCAGCGCGGCCGCTCGCGCCTAAGGTAATGGCCGCAAGGGCGCTTCGGCCTAGCTCCTTGCGGGAGGGGAAGGGCGTCTGCTGATGCGCGCGCGCCCATACCGACGAGAGCCACGGGGTTCTACTCAACCTCCGGAGGGGAGGACCCCGAGATGCGCACGAGAAGGAAAGGGATCGCTTGTCGATGTCGCCTCGTTTTCAGTAGGCAGCAGGTGACAGTGAGCTTTTCTGGCTTAGGTGCCAGGCGCCCGTGAGGCGCGCCGGCTGTTTCGCTTTTGCTGCCCAGAAGCCTCGGGGCTGCGGCTTTAGAAGCGCCCGCCAGGTTGTCGGTGGGCCAAGAGCTTTGCGGGATTCTCTTATTGATGTCCCATTTACAAGTCACCACCCCCTCCTTACTGAAGGTTGAAGGAGGAAAAGGACTATCAGCCATTTGTAACAGAACCAGCTTCCTTTTAAACGAATTACGCAACGCCCGAGCATCCTGCAAAGAACCCTGAAGAGGAGGCCCAGGGTTCGGGTGGGGGAGGACCCAGCCCAGACGTACCCAGCCACATCTGCCTCGCTGCTAACTTTTCCGTGGGCGTCTCTCTTATTTATTTCTCCTGTGAAAAATGATAAAAATGTGTGCTTTTGACGTCATATTTTAGTTCTCCAAATACAAACCCACTGAAAATCAACTTAAGAAATTTTTACAGACACTCCGTTAACCCATTTTCTGATACATGTATATTTTATTTATAATACTTTTTAAACTGTAGATACTAAAACCAAATGAAACCCGAAGCCGTGGAGTAGATTCTTACTGATACTAGGAGGCAAGTGTGGTTGAGGGGATAAGGCAATTTTTTGTTGCAGTCAGAGACTAGAAAGCTGGGAGAGGTATATTAAGTGCCAGTTGCTGGCAAGTCAGTTTCGACTCATAGTAGCCCAATTAGGATAGAGTAGAATTGCCACATAGAGTATACAAAGCTGTAATTACAGAGGCAGATTTGGTGTTGCTTATTTGCATAACATTCTCTTATTAGAGTTTGACTTAAAAGACAATGTCCACCAACAGAAGGGATAGCTGCAGCTGTTTTTGGTGAGAATACTTGCTTTCTAAGCAAGAATTAGACATCTGGACAAGAAGAATATAACTGAAAATGGACATAAATGGAATGAACTCAAAATGGCCTTTATAATGCAGTCTTATTATTCACAATTAAATAAAATACATATATAATTCTATGTTGTAACCAAAATATCTGGAGCTAAAAGCCTGCTGATTTCATTTGACATACCAGGTAGTCAATGTAAGCCCAAAATTTATTCATAACTTTGCAGGTACCCAATCTCTTCTTTTAATAGATTATTCTGTTGTAATGGGCTTCTGGGAACCAGCAGGTATTAACCAGTCTCAGGTAAGATGAATTTGTAAACTAGAATGCCACATATGTATATGTGTGCATGTGTATGTGTGTCTATAAAGAGAAATTTCTGGTAGGACAATTTCTGGCAGATAATTTCCTACCGAAAGTTAAATTCATTCAGGGCACCAAATTAGAACGGAAGGTTACATAGTTAGCATGTAACTATTACAAAGTGAATTAAAGATTATTAAGAGAGATTTTCTTCCATCTGATGCAAATGGATGGATTAAATGCAATTTTTTTCATTACATCTATAATTAAAAACTAATAATGATTCAGACAATTGCTAACTTGTTAATTTTTTCTTTTTCTAGCATTCGTATAATCTACCACCATGTTACGGTACCATTGGATGGATTATAGCTTTCTATTGCATTAATTATATTCCAGTCCAGTTTTTGATCAGTCATCTAGATTACTAGATTTAGGAAATACTTTGACCTGAACTGCAATTTTCATTTTTTAAGAACATTAAAAATAAAAAAGTTTTTTACTAGTAAATGTATTTCCATTGTACCTTCCAAAAGAGCTCCATGTTTTACAAATGTAGTGTGTTTAAATGAATAACTATAACACATGCAGTGATGACTAAAAATCAAAAATTGGCTAAATAAGGGAAAATTATTTGTAAATTTATCAGGATCCTACTTGTAATTCTTGGATAAGGGAATATCAGTAAGATCTCATTGCTTTCTTGTGAACAACTTTCATGAAAACGTGACTGAAGTGAACCCCTGCTAAGAAAGTAGCCATATATTCAGCATATTTAAGATAGCTCTCTTTATTTACGTCTCTACATAAACAGAGATCTATAGAGATGATAACAGAAGTACCAACATGGATTATGATTCTAGTGAGTATCCCTTGTTTCCAGATTCAGACTTGGTTGTAACATAATATAATAAATCCTACCTCCCCAAAAAGGTCCCTGTGTGGTACAAGTGATTTGCAGTTGGCTACTAATCTAGAGGTTGGCAATTCAAACCCACCCGGCAGTACCACAGAAGAAAGGCTTGGCGATCTGACGCTGCACAGATCACAGCCAAGTAAACCCTATAGAGCAGTTGTACTCTGTTACACATGGGATTTTGACAGCAGCTTTTGTTTTGTTTTGTTTTGTTTTTCAGTCCCCAAAATGTTTAAATTTGTCTTATCTTTCTTCAGGTGTGTTCATCTTTTGCTACGGGCCCTAGACAGTATGATGGGACATTCTATGAATTTCGTACTTATTACCTTAAACCCTCAAAGATGAGTGAGTTCCTGGAAAATATTAAGAAAAACATTCATCTTCGGACAGCTCACTCTGAACTGATTGGATTCTGGAGTGTAGAATTTGGAGGCAGAGTGAATAAAGTGTTTCATATTTGGAAGTATGGTATGAGTCATCCAGCCTAAGGGTTCAGTACAGATTTTCATTCTGTTAGATGCAACGTGAGACTTAGTTCTTAGATCTCTACTACTGTAAATACATACAGGTCAAGTAAAACCTTTAAAAACCAAAACCAAAAAAAATTGAGTGGTTGCTCTTCCCGATAGTACACCTTTAACAAGCCCTGCTCAAATTCTTATGTTATCATAGAGGGGAAAATGTGTAGTCACATATCTTAAATCATAAAATTATGAATTACACTTTAATTCTCAGAAAAATTTTAGAATGTTTTATTATAAAAATGGTTTATGAAAAATTTAAAGCAGTGATTGTTAAGAACCCAAATGTGTTAGTATCACCAAAAGAAAGTTATTTTTTCTTATTATTGAAGCTATGGCTGGATATCAGGGTTTTAGTAGAAACAGTTCAAGCACATAGGGCTTTGGGGAAGTAGAGGATGATGGAGGATGATAGTTAACTTGTAAGCCTTTACCCAACTCTGAGAATGAATTATTCTGTTATGTTTAGGGGACTACTTTTATCTCATTTCTGCCCCCAGAGTTTCAGGGAGTTCACTGTTATTATACTACTAGGGAGAAAAAGGCAAAGGGATCAGAGTTCTCCCCACATTGAAACTGACCTACTCCTGGTTTAGCAGCGGTAGAACAGGTTACAGGAATGCCTAGATCAACTGCTAACCAAAAGGTTGGGGGTTCGAAACCACCAATGGCTCTATGGAAGAAAGTTGTGGCAGTCTGCTTCTGTGGAGATTTACAGCTTTGGAAACCCTATAGGGTGGCTATGAGTATGAATTGACTCAACGGCAGTGGGTTTGGTTGTTTTGGTTTCCATCTCTTTACTTGGCAATCTACATGGACTTGGTGATATCCAGAGAACTTTCAATAATTCCATTTAATGTTTTGTGATCAGTATCCAAAGTCAATAGTCAAAAAATAATATGAAAAATGGTCATTCTATACTTAACGTGTCCATACTTGGTATTTTTCCCTATTATAATAGAACTAGCCCCTTTAAAACACAATGCTTGTTTTAGGTATGCCCCAAGTTGAATCATGCCCCATTAAAATAATAAAGTCCTAATATAACTCAATCTGTAATAGAGGTGTTATTCCTTATCCCCAGCATAAACCATATAACTCTTCTACCATTAGTCTTATGAGGCCCTAATTCAAACAGAAGAAAACTAAGTAATGAGGAAAAAGAATGGGTAACAGTAGGTAAGAGAATTGGCTTCATTTGTTTGGAAGCTATTTGTTCAAAACAGAAAAGGCTTAAAAAGTACATCTTAATATCACTTACGTTACATTTGATTCAAGGTGTACGTTGATCTGACCATTCTCCACCACCAGCACCAAAGCGAAAAAGAGTGTTGTCTCTAAGCTGGGACTATAAATGACATGCCTCAATTAAATTAATAAGAATAATTAACATATATTGAGTGCTAACTAGGTTCCAAGCACTATTATAAACTTTGTTCATCTTAATTCATTTAATCCTCACAACAGCCCTGGAGATAGACACTAGATTATTATCCCCATTTCACAGATTAGAAAACAGGTGCATAAAAAGATTGAATAACTTACTTAAGTCATACAACTGCCTAGTAAATGGTGGAGCCTAAAAAATTCATTATAATTAGTTGTTTACATTTCTATTTCCCTGTTAGACCAAGAGCAGCTTGACCTCAGATATCACATCTGTTTATCTTGGTATCTCCAATGATACAGTGAAACCTATGAGAGCCGGAACTCGATGGGAACGCCTCCGCCTTTGACAGAGTACAGTCTTTTACCACTTTTCTAGCCCTCCTTTTAGTGGAAAATGTTTGAGTTTTCCTTCAGTGACAGGTTTCCACCTTACACAGGTTCCAGCTTTCTCAGGTTTTACTGTATAACACAATGTCCCTATATGTCCTTGAAGTACGTTTATTGAATTTAATGAAATCCCAAAAAAAATAGGAGATTTTAAATTGAAAATTTTTATTTTTCTGCCCATAGATAATTTTGCTCATCGAACTGAAGTTCGGAAAGCCTTGGCCAAAAATAAGGAATGGCAAGAACAATTCCTCATCCCTAATTTGCCTCTTATAGATAAGCAAGAGTGGGAGATTTCTTACCTGGTACCATGGTGCAAAATAGAAAAGCCACCAAAAGAAGGTAGGGCTTTCCTTCTTCATCACTTTGAATATTGGTGAATAAAATAAAAGACCATAAGCTATAAAAACTAAAGTTCCACTGGAAAAAATAAAAAATCCTTTGTATTATGTAGTAGGAGTCCCTGGGTAGCGCAGATGGTAAAGTGCTTGACTACTAGCTGGAGGGTTGGCGGACTGAACCTGCCCAGAGGCACGTCGGAAAGACAGGCCATCTGCTTCCGAAAAGTCACAGTGTTGAAAAGCCTATGGAGCAGTTCTGCTCTGCACACATGGGGTTGCCATGAGTCACAGTCAACTCAACAGCAACTAACAACAACATAAACATGCGAGTCTCAGGGTGGTGAAAAGGGTTAACACGCTTAGCTGGGAACTAAAGGTTGGAGGTTCCAGTCCATCCAGAGGTACCTTGAAAGAAAGGCCTGGTAACCTACTTCTGAAAAATCAGCCATTGAAAACACTGCAGCATAGTTCTAGTCTGACGTACATGGGGTCACCATGAGTCAGTGGCAACTGTTTTTTTTTAAACGTGCAGGTGCATGACCCTCAAGTCTGTTTATGTAGATTAGCCTTCCACTGGAACCAGACTAAACATGATTAGAAGTTGCTTGAACGTTTTCTGTGAAATCTCTTTCTCCCTACTTTAGGAGTCTATGAACTGGTTAGTTTTCAGATGAAACCTGGTGGACCAGCTCTGTGGGGTGATGCATTTCAAAGGGCAGTTAATTCCCATGTCAATCTAAACTACGCTAAACTGGTTGGAGTTTTCCACACAGAATATGGAGTACTCAACAGAGGTACAATTCTTCCCTTCTTATGTGATAATTATAAGTATACTGGTCATCTACTCATGCGTTTTTTGTGTCAGTTTGTTCTCTTTCTCATTATGGCATATGATTTTTTATTGTCAAATTTTTAGTTTTTGGTAATTTTAAGGGTTCAAAAAATCTTCTTTACATCTAATTTGTTTATACCGTATGAAGCTTTTTTCAAAGGCTGAACTGCTTGCTTTCCCTGGTACATGGAGATGACAGAACTTTAAAAATGAAGGAGCCTCAAGAAATAATCTACATTTTTCATTTTTTTTTTTCCTCTGAATGTATTTTTATTGATTTAAAAAACAAAAATTACTACCCCCGGACACCATTTTAGCTTAGTAATGAAGTCACTCCTGAGGTTCACCCTTCAGCCCAAGTTTGTTTCCCTTTCTCATTAGGGCATATAATTTTTTATTGCCAAATTTTTAGTTTTTTATGATTTTAAGCCTTCACAAAATCTTTTTGTTGTTGTTGTTGTTTGGTGCCATCGAGTCGATTCTGACTTACAGTGAGCCTATGTACCACAGAACGAAACACCGCCCAGCCCTCCGCCATCCTCACAATCGTCGTTATGCTTAAGGCCATTGTTGCAGCCACTGTGTTAATCCATCTCATTGCGGGTCTTCCTCTTTTTCGCTGACCCTCTATCAAACATGATGTCCTTCTCCAGCGATCAGTCCTTCCTAATAACATGTCCAAAGGATGTGAGAAGTAGTCTTGCCACCCTTGCTTCTAAGGAGCATTCTAGTCATATTTCTTCCAAGACAAATTTGTTCGTTCTTTTGGGGAATCCATGGTATATTCAGCATTCTTCTCCAACACCACAATTCAAAGGCATCAGTTCTTCGGTCTTTTTTATTCATTGTCCAGCTTTCACATACATATGAGGTGATTGACAACACCATGGCTTGGATCAGGTGCACCTTAGTCTTCAAGGTGACATCTTTGCTTTTCAACACTTTAAAGAGGTCTTTCACAGCATATTTGCCCAGTGCAGTCTGTCTTTTGATTTCTTGACTGCTGCTTCTATGAGTGTTGAGTGTGGATCCAAGTAAAATGAAATCCTTGACAACTTCAATCTTTTCTCAGTTTATCACGATGTTGCTTATTGGTCCAGTTGTGAGGATTTTTGTTTTCTTTATGTTGAGGTGTAATCCATACTAAAGGCTGTAGTCTTTGATCTTCATCAGTAAGGCCTTCAAGTCCTCTTTACTTTCAGCAAGCAAGGTTGTGTCATCTGCATTATGCAGGTTGTCAATGAGTCTTCCTCCAATCCTGCTGCCCCATTCTTCTTCATACAGTCCAGCTTCTCTGATCATTTGCTCAGTATACAGATTGAATAGGTATGATGAAAGATACAACCTTGACGCACACCTTTCCTAACTTTAAACCATGCAGCATCCCCTTGTTCTGTCCAAACAACTGCTGCTTGATCTATGTACAGGTTCCTCATGAGCACAATTAAGTGTTTTGGAGTTCCCATTTTTCGCAATGTTATCCATAATTTGTTACGATCCACGCAGTCAGATGCCTTTGCATAGTCAGTAACTAACACAGGTGAACATCTTTCTGGTATTCTCTGCTTTCAGCCAGAATCCTATCTGACATCAGCAATGATATCCCTTGTTCCATGTCCTCTTCTGGGTCCAGCTTGAATTTCTGGCAATTCTCTGTCGATATACTGCTGCAGCTGCTTTTGAATGATTTTCAGCAAAATTTTACTTGCATGTGATATTAATTATACTGTTCGATAGTTTCCACATTCGGTTGAGTCACCTTTCTTGGGAATAGGCATAAATGTGGATCTCTTCTGGTCTGTTGGCCAGGTAGCTGTCTTCCAAATTTCTCAGCATAGATAAGTGAGCACTTCCAGCGCTGCATCCGTTTGTTGAAACATCTCAATTGGCATTCCATCAATCCCTGGACCCTTGCTTTTTGCCAGTGCTTTCAGTGCATCTTGGATGTCTTCCTTCAGTACCATTGGTACTTGGTCATATTCTGCCTCCTGAAATGGTTGAATGTTAACCAATTCTTTTTAGTACAGTGACTCTGTGGATTCCTTCCATCTTATTTTGATGCTTCCTGCATCATTTAGTATTTTCCCCATAGAATCCTTCAATATTGCAGCTCGAGGCTTGAGTTGTTTCTTCAGTTCTTTCAGCTTGAGCAATGCCGAGCATGTTCTTCCCTTTTGGTTTTCTATCTCCAGGTCTTTGCACGTCATTATAAAACTTTACTTCATCTTCTCGAGCTGCCCTTTGAAATTTTCTGTTCAGCTCTTTTACTCATCATTTCTTTCTTTCACTTTCGCTACTCGACATTCAAGAGCAAGTTTGAGTCTCTTCTGACATCCAGTTTGGTCTTTTCTTTCTTTCCTGTCTTTTTAATGACCTCTTGCTTTCTTCATGTATGATGTCCTTTCCACAACTCATCTCATCTTTGGTCATTAGTGTTGAACGCGTCAGAAGTTTTCTTGAGAAGATCTCTAAATTCAGGTGGGATGTGCCCAAGGTTGTACTTTGGCTTTCGTGGACTTGAACTAATTTTCTTCAGTTTCAGCTTGAGCTTGCATATGAGCAGTTGATGGTCTGTTCCATAGTCAGCCCCTGGCCTTGTTCTGACTGATGATATTGAGCTTTTCCATCATCTCTTTCCACAGATGTAGTTTATTTGATTCCTGTGTTTTCCATCTGGTGAGGTCCACGTGTATAGTCACCGTTTATGTTGGTGAAAAAAGGTATTTGCAATGAAGGAGTCGTTGGTCTTGCAAAATTCTATTGCGCGATCTCCAGCATCATTTCTGTCACAAAGGCCATATTTTCCAACTACTGATCCTTCTTCGTTTCCAGCTTTCACATTCCAATCACCAGTAATTATTAATGCATCTTGATTGCACGTTCTATCAATTTCAGACTGCAGAAGCTTGTAAAAATCTTCAATTTTTTCATCTTTGGCCTTAGTGGTTGGTGTGTAAATTTGAACAATAGTTGTATTAACTGGTCTTCCTTGTAGGCATATGGATATTGTCCTATCACTGACAGTGTTGTACTTCAGGATAGATCTTGAAATGTTCTTTTTGACGATGTATGCAATGCCATTCCTCCTCTTCAAATTGTCATTCCCAGCATAGTAGACCATATGATTGTACGATTCAAAATGGCCAATACCAGTCCATTTCAGCTCACTAATGCATAGGATATTAGTGTTTATGCATTCCATTTCATTTTGATGATTTCTAATTTTCCTAGATTCATCTTTTGTACTTCCACGTTCTCATTATAAATGGATGTTTGCAGCTGTTTCTTCTCACTTTGAGTCGTGCCACATCAGCACACAAAGGTCGCGAAAGCTTGACTCCATCCACATCATTAAGGTCAACTCTACCTTGAGGAGGCTTCTCTTCCCCATTCGTCTTTTGAGTGCCTTCCAACCTGAGGGGCTCATCTTCTGGCACTATATCAGACAGTGTTCCACTGCTTTTCCTAAGGTTTTCACTGGCTAATTCTTTTCAGAAGTAGACTGCCAGGTCCTTCTTCCTAGTCTGTCTTAGTCTGGAAGCTCAGCTGAAACCTGTCCGCCCTGAGTGACCCTGCTGGTATTTGAATACTGGTAGATAGCTTCCAGCATCACAGAAACACACAAGCCCCTACAGTACGACAAACTGACAAACACCTTATGAAGCCTCTTTCCAATGCTGAACTGCTCCCTGGCACATCAAAATGATAGAATTAAAAGACTAGAAGGAGTCCAAGAAATAATCTATTTTTCTCATTCTATTTTCCTCTTAGTGTACTTTGATTGATTAAAGCAAAACAAAAACGTTACTTAGGATAGGGAAGTTATTTCTGAATGCAAAAGTAATAAATATTTTTTATAAATTTTGAAACAGGGATAAGCACAAAGAAAAAAATTACTCATTTCCCATTAGTGATAATGCTGTTAATATTTTGGTCTTTTTATTCATATGTATATATACATACACACACAGACATATGTATATGTATGTGTGTATACATGTATATAAATGAAATTCAAAAGCAAAAAAATAACTTACATAAAGGTGAACATACAGATGGCTACTAAATATACATGTAAGGTGATGCAGATTAAAAGAATAATGAGATACTATTTTTATCTTAGCAGAGTCATACAGATATAGATGTAAATATAGTGTTAAAAAAGTCGAGAAAAAATAAGAAGTCATATACTTTATTGGATTCATATTGGGCTAATTGTTCCCCCCCAAAATTTGGCAATATAAATAAAAAGCCTTAGCTTTTTTTCATTGTCTTTGCCAGTAATTTCACTTCTAGGACATATGCATTGGTGTATATGTGTATAGATGTGTTTAGTTATACAGGCAGGAAATTTTAAAGGATATAAAAAATATAGTATTATCTATAGTATATATATCATAGATAATATTTTTATATATAATATGTGTATAGATATTATATATAAATAATATCTGTATGGGAAACCCTGGTGGCATAGTGGTTAAGTGCTATGACTGCTAACCAAAAGGTCGGCATTTCGAATCCACCATGCGCTCCTTTGAAACTCTTTGGGGCAGTTCTGCTCTGTCCTTTAGGGTAGCTATGAATCAGAATTGACTCAACAGCAACGGGTTTGGTTTTTGGAATACCTATATGTCTACATATATAATATCTATATAGATAGATAATAGATATTATATATTTATATATAAATACTGATGGTACTGAAGATAGAAGTCCAAGCTGCACTGAAGACATTGGCGAAAAACAAGTCTCCAGGAATTAACAGAATACCAGTTGAAATGTTTCAGCAAATGGTTGCAGTGCTGGAGGTGCTCACTCGTCTATGCCAAGAAATTTGGAAGACAGCTACCTGGCCAACAGACTGGAATAGATACATATTTGTACCTGTTCCAAACAAAGGTGATCCAACAGAATGTGGAAATTATCCAACAATATCATTAATATCACACGCAAGTAAAATTTTGCTGAAGATCATGCAAAAGTGGTTACGGAAGTACATCAACAGGAAATTGCCAAAAATTCAAGCCAGATTCAGAAGAGGACATGGAACCAGGGTTATCACTGCTGATGTCAGATGGATCCTGGCTGAAAGCAGAGAATACCAGAAAGATGTTTACCTGTGTTTTATTGACTATGGAAAGACATTTGACTGTGTGGATCATAACAATTTATGGATAACATTGTGAGAATGGGAATTCTAGAATGCTTAATGGTGCTCATGAAGAACCTGTACACAGATCAAGAAGCAGTTGTTTGGACAGAACAAGGACATGCTGTGTGGTTTAAAGTCAAGAAAGATGTGTGTCAGGGTTGTATCCTTTCACCATACTTATTCAGCCTATATGCTGAGCAAATTATTTGAGAAGCTGGAATATATGAAGAAGAACACAGCATCAGGTTTCATGGAAGACTCATTAACAACCTGCATAATGCAGATGACACAACCTTGCTTGCTGAAAGTGAAGAGGACTTGAAGGCCTTACTGATGAAGATCAAAGACCACAGCCTTCAGTATGGATTACACCTCAACATAAAGAAAACAAAAATCCTCACAACTGGACCAATAAGCAACATCATGATAAACTGAGAAAAGATTGATGTTGTCAAGGATTTCATTTTACTTGGATCCATAATCAATGCCCATCGAAAGAGCAGTCGGGAAATCAAAAGACTGATTGCATTGGGCAGTCTGCTGCAGAAGACCTCTTTAAAGTGTTAAAAAGCACGAAAGCTAAGAAGTTCCCTGAATACAGGCAAACACTTTGAGGGACAGAGTAGCAGGGGCGGGGGCCTAAGGACCATGTTTTCAGGGGACATCTAGGTCAATTGGCATAACAAAGTTTATTAAGAAAATGTTCTGCATCCTTCTTTGGTGAGTGGCGTCTGGGGTCTTAAAAGCTTGCAAGCAGGCATCTAAGATGCATCAATTGGTCCCAGCCCACCTGGAGTAAAGGAGAATGAAGAACACCAAAGTCACTAGGAAAGTATTAGCCCAAGAGTCAGAAAGGGCCTTATAGACCAGAGACTGCATCAGCCTGAGACCAGAAGAGCTAGATGGTGCCTGGCTACCACCAATGACCGCCCTGACAGGGAACACAACAGAGAGTCCCTGATGGAGCAGGAGAAAAGTAGGGGGCAGAACTCAAATTCTAGTAAAAAGACTAGACTTAATGGTCTGACTGAGACTGGAGGAGCCCCAGAGAGCATGGCTCCTGGACTCTCTGTCAGCCCAGGACTAAAACCGTTCCCAAGGCCAGTTCTTCAGTCAAAGAGTAGACTGGACTATGGGACATAAAATCATACTCGTGAAGAGTGTGCTTCTTAGCTCAAGTAGATACATGATACTAAATGGGCAGCTTCTGTCCAGAGGTAAGATGAGAAGGCAGAGAGGGTTAGGAGCTGGTTGAACGGACAGGGGCAATCGGGTGGAAAGGAGGAGTGTGCTGTCACAGTATGGGGAGAGCAGTTAGGGTCACACAACAATGTTTGTATAAATTTTTGTGTGAGAGACTAACTTGAATTGTAAACTTTCAATTAAAGCACAACAATAAAAAATAAAGTGTTAAAAAGCAGATGTCACTTAAGGACTAAGGTGAGCCTGACCCAAACCATGGTGTTTTTATTCGCCTCATATGCATGCGAAAGCTTAACAATGAGTAAAGAAGACCAAAGAAGAATTGATGCCTTTGAATTATGGTGTTGGAGAAGAATATTGACTATACCATGAACTGCCAGAAGAACGAACAAATCTGTCCTGGAAGAAGTACAGCTAGCACACTCCTTAGAAGAGAGGATGGCGAGACTTCGTCTCACATAATTCAGAACATGTTATCAGGAGGGACCAGTCCCTGGAGAACGACATCATCTTGTTTGGTTAAGTGGAGGGTCAGCGAAAAAGAGGAGGATCCTCAACACGATGGATTGACTCAGTGGCAGCAACAGTTGGCCCAGGCATAGAAAGGATTGTGAGGATGGCACAGGACCCAGCAGTGTTTTGTTCTGTTGTACATAGGGTTGCCATGAGTCGAAAACGACTCGACAGCACCTGACAACAACTAACAACACATATTTATAGATATCTATAAGGAGGAATTCACTTAGCCATTAAAAATTAATATTATTGACATAAAAAATACTTGTATTTTTGAGTTTTAAAAATCTGTTATTAAGTATACTATACGGTATAACCCTAATTTGATTTTACATATTTTTTAAAGAAAATAAACCAAATATTAAGAAGTTTTCTCTCAGAGGTAAAGATTATGCTTATTTTTATTTTCTTCTTTGTATCATCTAAATTTTTTTATGGAAACACAATTCTCTTTATAATCTTGTTTTTTTTAGAGACAGGAAGTTATGGAACTTGAGTATAGTTTTGATTCTGTCAGCTGTTACTTTACTTCCCTCCTCCAGCCTTCTCTTGCTTCATCAGTAAAACCAGTTTGATTAGTAAATTTATAAATTTCTTTCCCAAATCTCTGTCCTCTCTGAGATCTTGAAACTAATATACTTAGTTTTACCTTTTTGATATTCACTGTTTTAATTTAAAGAACGAGACTTGACATCTCTGATTCATTTTTCTGTAGTTCTTATTTGTGGGAATGCCATGTTCTTTATTTTGGGTTTATTTCTGCAGTTCATGTTCTTTGGTGGCATGAGAGTCCAGATAGTCGTGCAGCTGGGAGACATCAGTCTCATGAGGACCCCCGAGTTGTGGCAGCTGGTAAGCTGTTTGACTAGGCATGAATTACTTTTAGAACATATTTGAGTAAGTCATCAACTTTGTCTTATGATTTTTTTTTTTTGCAGTCCGGGAAAGTGCCAACCACCTAGTATCACAGCAGAATATGCTTCTGATTCCTACATCTTTCTCACCGTTGAAATAGTCTGCTACGAGATGAGACATTTCATTAACTGCTGTAAGATATATCTGCTAGTGATGCTTAATTTTTCCCCAGAGAGTCTCACGTTTATTTGAAGGAGGTGGTAAGTTAATTAGCTATGTCCCTTGCATTATTGAAAGCTACCTCTGTCCTTTGTCGTTACCACTTCAGAAAATAGGTCTGTTCATTTCCCCTGTGGCATTTCACTGTCTGTTATACATTAGAAATAGCTGCCACTGCTTCCTGATCTTGATTTTTCCTTTATTTTCAAATATCGCTGCTTCTGTATTTTCACAACCTTTTTGGTACAGCATTTTCTTGTATTAAAATGATGTTATATTTTCATGCCGCTGACATGATTTTTAAATTATTTATATACAGTATCTACCTTTTTCAGGGTATCTGTTTTTCTGAGATTTTTTAATTGTGTCCAGTAAAGTTTATTTTATAGTATCAAATGGGATTCATAAGAGTATTAGATCAAATATATTTCTTTACATTGGAAAAGCATAATTTGTGTAGTCTGTATTATGGTTTTCACATTATTAATTACTCTAACTTAGAAAAGAATGTAATTAGGTCTTGGTATTAAAAAATTTTTCAAGGCTTGTTGATTTATATGCTGAAATGTGTTAATTTATAATTAATTTTACTAATTTTTACTTTGTTTTGAATTACTATTTAGCAGAGATACTTGGGACATCTATTTGTTTTAAAGAGATCTTTTATGGTTATGGACATACTTACCCTAATAAAAGCCTACATATCCATTCTAATTCTTTTTATTTTCATTTTATATTTTTATCCTCTTTTCTGGAGCTATTGCTGTGTTGCTATAGGGTAGTGACACAGTAATAATTTACCACCTTTATTGTAAATGGTAAGTTACATCAAGAAAATAGCATGCTAGCAACCCCAGAAGGAGAATTTCTTCAGCACTGTCACAGGTGTGCTAGGGTTTTCCTTGAAACACCTGTAATTTCTATTTTAGTTGAGTGCCTCTGCCTTCTAACTTTAGTTTTGGTATTTCCAAGCTCTCCTGCTAGTCTATACTTACAGCTATGTTATTTTACATTTCTAAAACATACTGCAAATTTAAAATAGTAAATTATGAATTAGCTATCTAAAGAAATTTTGAAAAACAGAAAGTATATCACCTTTTCTTTATCTGGACCTCTGGGATCTCTGATTTATCTGGACCATTATGTAATGTGAGACAGTCAGTATACCCTGCCTTCTCTCCTGTTACTATGGATGAACCTTACATGTTCCAAGCAAAGACAGGACTCTATTTTTACACTTACTTGCTCAAGGATGTGTCTGCAGTAGTTCTTCCCTCTGTTTCTTGAAACCAGTTTTTCCCTCTCTATAGGATCCTTCTTGCCAACAGACAAATGTGCTGTTTTTCCCATCTTAAAAAATACACACTTCTCTCTCCAGCTACTGCCCCATTTTTCTTTTCCTTTATAACTAAAAAGTGTAATCCATACTTCCTGCTTCCAGTTTCTCTCAGTTCTCTCATAAACTTAATCACCACATTAGCCAAATTGCCCTTGTCAATCTCATTTCTCAGTCATTTTACAATTGACATCTTCTTTCTTTTGGAAATACTTTCTCATTTGTCCTCCAGGACTCCACACAAAGCCTTCTTTTCTCATTAGCTGTTACATCTTCGTCTCCTCTTTCTTGACCACCTATGTTAGAGTACCCAGGGCTGATTAAATGAAGTGCCTGACAACACAGGAAACACTTGGAAAAGACAGCTAATTTAAATCATCTGCCTTTTCATTTTTCAGTGGTTTTCTTTTCTCTCTCCCTCGATGGTCGTTTTCGCACACACAGTTTTCTGTCATTTCATTAAAGTTTCTGTAATTTGAAGTTCAAGTTGGGAGGATGAAGTTATGATCCTGATGCTGAGCAGTCATCCAGGCTCGTTTGCAAGCCAAGGTGCTACTGCACACAAGTTCAAATTCATGCCTCAGCAAAAGGACTGCTCACTACACGTCACGGCCGTTCAGAAGAGGTCACAAGGAGAGCCAGGACTCTATTGTTGTGTCTTAAAGGGCTATCACTACAGGGGTTCTTCACGTACTGAGAAAAGCAGACATTCTTTTCTGAAACTTTGATTCATAATTAGCTGTGGAAAATCCATGTCTCATCATGGCACTATATAATGTTGTGTATACACTGTACAGCACTTTTTACAGGAGAAAAGGCACTTCTGATATTAGTCTCAGTATCTTTTTTATTTTTCTGCATCCTCACCCTTGCCAACCACCCCCGGCACCTTGCCAGTGTACTTGGCACACTGTGTCCTTATATTTTTGGTTGAATAAACAAAAGAACGCTGAAGGCTGCCTTTGTAGCCTTCTCAATACCAAGTTGAGTTTTTGTTAATTAAATAAGCTTAGCTACAGAGTATTTTCAAAGATCTCTGTAGCTGCAGAATCATCAAAGTGTTCATCTAAAAACCACTTAAATTTGCTTGATAAGAGTTACTTAATATAGTAACTGAATCATGAAGGTGCAAAACACCCCTTGTTTTTATTTTCAAGTAATCTCAGTTCTCTTGTGATTAACAGGACATTGAAGCCTTTTCTGAAATTTTTACTGCTGATCCAAATAGCTTTCCCTCTACCAGCAGACATTTCTTACTATTGTAAGTTTTATAACATTTTAACAGTAGGTGGTGCCACGAATGTACGAAAGTAAATTTGTATAGACCAACAGAACTGACACAGCTTTATTTCGTGACTCATTTACAACATAGAAATATCTTTTTAACACTTCATATAAAGTTATTGACAATACAAATATTTTTTTCTTTTAATGAAAATGATTTAACTTAGAAATCTATTGTGAAACTTCTGTCTAGTTTTGCAATTTTTAGATATTCCAGTGCAAAAATAGATCCCATTACAGACAGCATAAAGTGCTTGGAATGAAGGACCAATGATAAAGGAAAAGCACAAAACATAGCTTCATCCTAGAGTTTAAGAAGGGAGAATAGCATACTTAATCCTTAATGAAATATAAACATTCTATAAAAAGGGATGCAACAATTTGAAAAAAAAATTAGAGCATATCACTATAGTACTGGATTACTAGTAAATGGAGCCTTGATGGAGCAATGGTTAAGCACTTGGCGGCTAACTGAAAGGTCAGCGGTTCGAACCCACCAGTGGCTCCATGGGAGAGAAGACCTGGTGATCTGCTCCCATAAAGATTACAGTCTAAGTAACCCTTTGGGGCAGTTCCACTGTGTCACATGCGGTCGCTATGAGTCAGAATCAACTTGATGGCACCTAACAACAACATATTACCAGTAAATAGTAACAAGGTACAAATTAATATCTCAATTTCAGAGTGGTTCAGTATTATATGATACATGGCTCTTTGGAAAATTCTACCTGATATATACAACCACAAGAAGAAAATATAGACAAATCCCTTTTAGTCAATGAGTACTATGCAGTGAATGAATGATGTGTAACATTTAATAGTCATAAAGCATATGCTTTCAGTACAGATATTGAAAAACAGTAGTTTGAGGTTTGGTTGTTTTTTTAACAGTGAACTGTGCTGGGCATTTATTTATAGAGGGCTTTTTTTGTTATTTTCTTTTGTTTTTTTATATTCACAGGTGTTAATAACGTTTCCAAGGTGTCCAGAAGCAGCCAAGGCAGAAATCTATGAACATAATTTTTTTTGAGAATTTCTGAAACTCACATAGTTGTATTTCCACAGGGAACAGAAAAATTTTACTTGCTTGAGCATAAAGCTAGCAAAAATTTCTAACATAATTAGGTTTACAAAGGAAAATATAAAAGATTATCATCTGGACAGTCTAAATAGTAACAATATTAATAAAGGTGATGTATAACCATAGATTGTTTCTAGTTTCAAATGAGATTTTTTAAAAATTTACATTGAAACTTTTTTTTTCAGAAAAGGGATAATACAGTGCCTTTTTGAATTTTTAAATATGGCCTCAGAATGAGAGTAATTAAAGCAAGGAGCTGCTCATGGATGTGATGAAGAAATGGAACATAATTATAAGAAATGGGAAAAATAAAGGTGTTTGATTTTTGAAAAATATTTAGATAGGAGAAACTAAATTATTCTGTGAATTTTAAATCATTAAAGATAGTAGAAAATATAATGAACTCGTGCCAATAATTATTGGAACTATGCCTGCATTTACGTATTACTTGTTTATCATCTCAAAAAAATTGACAATTTCTACAACAGTCATTTTCTCTTTTCAAGTAATAAATTCTACAACATTCTGACAATTTTACAAGAAGACATAAATTTGAAATGGATCTGAAATCTTACACCTTTAGAGTTAATATTTAAATTTTAGAAAAAGAGTAAGTTAATAACGATACTGAAAGATCACTTGAACCTCACCAAAGAGTAGTTCTCTCATATTTTTGTCTCAATATAGATGATATTAAGCATTACTGAAATTTTTTTTTAAGTGTTTACGGACCAAAAAATTAAGACTGGGTTAGAAAAGTTTGAAAAATACCCTATGTAGGATTATTTGCTGGAGTTTTTTGTTTTTTATTTTTTTCATGATAGGGTAGTGATTGAAGAAATGGCTATTTTGAGACTGTGAAGAGATTTTAATGGGTTATCTAACATCTACAAAACCAGTTATCTGAAGGTACTACAAGTTGTGTTTTCAACAAGTTTCCAAGTCGCTAGTTTCTCTGTGAAAGAATTCATTGTTTAGCCTGTGACACTCGTGACACTTGCACTTTCTTGGCTTCTGCAATTTTTTTTTTTTTTAAATGGCTGCCCAATAGTCTTTCAGTGGGCTTCCACACAAGAACTATCTAAACAACCTATATTTGTAAACCAGTTAGCTGAATAATGTGGCACAAGAGGTCTACCAAGACCTAATTTCTCACTACACCATTCATATTCATTCAGCTATAGCATACACTCAAAAAATACCTGATATACTGAGATTAAGAATATTTTAAATGACCTTAAAGAAATTCAAATCTAACACTGTCATGAAATCTTGACCATAACATTGTTTTCACTAGTCAGACCATCCATCTGCAACCTTGTATGAGAAAATAAGGCTAGTACAGTAGGATGGCCATACTCCTCTATGCTACAAGTTTCTACTAAGAGTCCATTCTAAGGTTTCAGAAGTCATTGACAGAACTTAAAAATCCAAATAACATTAAAAGTACAAAGATTTTTGTCAAAATACAGCTCTACCTTTTGATATTCTAGATTAACTCAAAAAGCCAGAAATAATACAACACTTGTGTCAAACAACAAAGATCTTGAGATGCAGTGTACCATGTTACTAGACAATCGGGACAGATGGGCACAGGCCTCCCTAGGCTTGACAGCTGTCCCTTTAATCCCATGCCCTGACCTCAGCAGTTTGCAGCACCAGTAATTGGCTGCCAAGTCTTTGCTTACAGGATCTATGTGTTAAGATGGCCATCCCAGAAGGATGGCTCTGGAGACCCATGGCTCCAAGCAAGGGACAACATGACAATGGAACCAAGTCTCAGGTGTCTAGAGATGCCCACACTTTCCATGTTACCACCACCAAAGCAGTTCCATCAAAGAAGAAATCAGAGCAGGACTTTACCCAAACATGGCACCATTTTGTTGCCTGATATTTAATGATGTTGATACAGACTGAGCAGAGCAATTTTCACAAAAGTGTGCATGACACACCATGGCGCTTCAGGCTTTCTGAGTAACTTGGCACTAGTAATTTTGGCACACTCATTGCCAGCAATGGATGTGTCGCTGGGAAACCAGTCTCCTGGCATGGCACGAGTTAATGAATGAGGATGTGCATGCCTTTTGATTTTGATAATCACTGGCCATGATTACTTGATGAATTATTGTTGCAATCCCAGTTAGAATACAAAGGAAAAAAAGAGTATGATTTCGAACCCATATGTCCACTGGGTTCCATACCAGAGTTTCACATATGTATAAGGTAATAAACTAAATTCAAGTCTTTTTCACTTGAGAGCCATACAAGACATAGGCTACAAAGGCACTGCCCCTGTAATGGAATTTTGTTTTCATTGCATTGAATTGCATTGCATTGAATAGTATCAGTACAGTATCCAGTTTATTTCTTCCCACAAAAACTCCTGACTCTTTCCTCTGGAACACTTCACATGGCATAAAGGAAGGTCTAGTTCCTCCTTTCTTTCAGCCGCTCAGTATGAACAGGATTCTTCATACATAACTTTCTTTGACTTTCTCATCCTGCAGAAAAGATGTAAGAACTGCAACATCCACTACTGTCTGGTTTTTGTGTAATGACAGGTCCTTTAAGTGGTCATCATCACTTTGGTCCTTGGCAAAGTTCACAAATACCTGTCAAAAGAAAGATGGACCTCTATAAGTACCTGTCAACTTGCTCTTTCTTTATTCTAGCTGCATTTTTCTCTATATTGAAATTAGGTCAAGTAGGAGAATACAGGATTGCATAAATAGATTAACCAGAAAGCTTTGTAAGGGGAGGGAAGATGCTTGAAAAGGCATTAATCATTTAAACTGACCTATATTGTCCCCTAAGTCATCAATCACCTATTTACTTTGGAACATGCAGGCTTGATTAAAGAGAAGGAAGAAAAGAGTTAACATTTACTGAATACCTACTAAGTACCAGGCTCGTCTGACATTTTATGTTATCTAATTTAAATGGGTTAAGATCGCTGGCACAATGCCTGGCCCATGGTAGGTACTCAATAAATAATAGTTATTATGATTATTATTACAATTAATTCTCACAGCAACCCTATAAATTACATAGCATCATCTCTCTTTTCAAGGTCATAGAGATTTAGTAAAAAGCTAGTAGTAGAGAAGGAATTCAAGCTCAGACAGCCTAACGTGCTCTAGGGCCCACACTGGGGGCCTAAAAGTAAATCCCTTTTTGACACTCAAAGCTTACTTGGTCAAGTGTTGTCTGAGAAACAGAGTAGTCTTCTATGTGGAGTCGTTTTTTGCTATGGGAGAGGATGCTGAATATCCTGGCCAGAGAAGATAATGAAGATGGAAGCTGGTATTGTAGCATATTTCGGTGTTTCTCTTTTAGGACACTTCCTGGAAAGGCAAGTCCAAAGAATTCCTGGACAGGCTTCAGGTCAGGGTTTGTTCCTGCTATTCGTACAACTATTGTATAACCATCTCCAAACCTGAAAGCAGAAAAAGTCCAAATGGAGGATGAACCCCAGGAAACCTCTCAAAAGAATATTTAACCCTGAGAACCCAATCTGTGCCAAGAATAAGGGAAGTCCCTAACAGACCCAAAAATAAGTTTCTGAGAGGAGGAACCAGTTATGGTGTACACAATACCTGCTCTATCATGGAGTTAAAGTACTATGCTAAGTACTTTACTTACTATGCTAAGTACTTTAACTACATGATCTCATGTAATCCTCACCCTGAACCATGACGTCTGGCAGTTGATAACAAAGAAATCAAAGCCCAAGGAGTTAGTCACTGGCACAAAGCTCATAAATGGAGGGGCCAAGATGCAGACTTGTTTGTGTTTGGCTCCAAAGCCTGTGCTCTTAACCACAGTGACATATATAAATGATTTCATTTTGTCTATATATGGTGGCTATGAATAGGAATCAACTCGAGGGCACACAACAACATATAGTGCAGCTAGGAGGTAGACATTCCTAGGAAACTGAGTCTCAGAGAGGTTAAGTAAATTTGCCCCAGGGCGCACAACTAGTAAATGTTAAAGACAGAATTTGAATGCAGCTCTGTTTGATTTCAAAGCCCTCATTCTTTCCACTATACCATTTGCTCAGTTTTACTTCCTTTTATTTAAGATCTACCTTCTATACGCACACAAGAGTAAATATCAAGCTTTCTTAGTAGGAATGATCCCAAAGAAACTATCTTTGTTACCTGTTTTTCAGATGCTGAACACTGCCAAGACACCTGAACTTCCCATTGACCATAATTGCCATCCTAGTGCAAAGAGCTTCACATTCTTCCATACTGTAGGGAAACAAAAACAAGGTTTTAGAGAGATGCTCCTATAGCCATCAGAACATCACCATGACATCTGGCATTTCAAAGAAACAGAGTCCTAGCTTCCTAGGGCATAAGAGCATCCTATTACAAATGCATGAAGATGTTGAGATGACACTACTTGTTCACTGCAGTGCTGTTTACAATTGTGAAAAAAAAAATGTTGGGAACAATCCAAATGCCTGAAAAAGGGGAAGAGTTAAATAAATTAAGGTATATCGCAAGTGAATGCTATCCAGCTAAAAATTTATGACATCTACATTTAATGACCTGAAATAATGTTTATAATATATTGCTAAGTGTAAAAGCAGTATATATATTATGCTTGTATTTTTGTTTGTACAAAGGGATCTATAAACACACACACACACACATTTGTATATATAGGTTTGCATAAGAAAACATCTACCAAGATATACAGTCCAATGATAATAATAGTTTTATCCAAGTGGCACAATTTCACATGATTTTAATCATTTTTCTCTTTGCCTTGCTGTATTTCCTAATGTTTACACAATGGTCATATATATTACTTGGCAAAATGAAAAATCATACTACACAGAAGCCAAGCCAGGTTTTCACTACAGACCTATGAGATGTAAGCACTACTGATCTCCCCTCCTTGATGATACTTAGGGCACAATTCCACAAGAATCTCCGGGCTTTGGGATCCATGCCTGTGGTGGGTTCATCCTGTAATTAGAATAAAATAAATCTTCTACTATTTGCTAAAAAAAAACAGAGACAATTTTTTTTTTTTTTTTTTTTAATGTAGCAGCATCTTGGAAACAGCCTACATTTTCACTTACTGTTAACTTCTAGTTATTTCTATATGGAACAAAGAACCAGACCTTATCTATGAGACTAATCATACTTATTTATAAACAGTTTGCTTTTATAAATGTCTAATTAGAGCAGGAAACAATTCTGAGCAAATTTTTATGAAATTAATGTATTTCTCCCCACCACCACCACCAAAAAAAAATGGAAAGGAAAAAAGTCATTTAGGTTCAATTTCATCTTTTCATGACTTAAGAAGCATATGCTAAAAATTGTTTTTCTCTGAAATTTCTACTGAAGTCGGCATAAGATTTGGGTAAAATTCTTTTTCTTCACTTTTTATTCTAGTTCGCTCAGCTTAGCCTGTTATATTCCACTTGCTAGTCTAAAAGAAATTTATTACAGACCGACATGATCTGCATAACATGAAAGCCTAAACCTAAGACTTCCTATTATAACTTCAATGCTCTTCCCCTCTACAGAAGAAAAAGGGTTAAGGGCTGCTGACTGATTCAGTCCTCCCTTTTTCAGCCTGTCTATGTGTAAGAAACAGTGACCCAAGTGCCACCTTAGGGGTCTTAAAAGTTGTATCCACACCCTCCATCCTCATGGGATGAACACACAGAATGTTCCAGAGAAAGGTCAAACCATACATCCTGCCTCAGCAACACCTGATGAGGTTTTCCACGCCAGAAAAACAAGGTGCCGGGAGTATCTCTGGTGGCACAGTGGTGGTTTGGCTGCTAACCAAAAGGTTGGCAGTTTGAATCCACCAGCCACTCCTTGGAAAGCCTATGGGGCAGCTGTACTCAGTCCTACAGGGTCACTATAGATCGGAATCGACTCGACAGCAATGGGTAAAGGGCATGGTAGAGCCACGCAGGTATTTGTTGAAGGAGGAGAACAATAGAGCGTCCCTCTCATTCTCCAAGGCTGCTCTGCTATTTCTGGTGGGGGCTTGCCATTACTGAGTCAGTCATGCAACAGCCCTGGATGTACAGGACTTTAGAAAAGTGATGTTTTCCATTCATGCCAGAACAATTTTTCCTTCCACAGTCACACTCACCAGAAACACCACAGGAGGCCCACCGATCAAAGCCATGGCTGTGGAGAGCTTGCGCTTGTTGCCTCCACTATAGTTACCAGCATATTTTTCTCCGTATTTCAGAAGGCCCAGTTTCCGAATTGCCCATTCACCAACCTAGAGTGATAAAAGGCAACTTGGCTTTTGTCTGGTTTGGAAATTTTATCATGTTTTTTCACACCTTGTGGGAGAAAGATGTGGCAGTCTGGTTCCGTAAAGATTACAGCCTTGGAAAACCTATGGGGCAGTTCTACCCTGTCCTATAGGGTCACTATGAGTCAGAATTGACTCAACAGCAGTGGGTTTTATTTTGTTTTTTCTTACATTTACATATGAAAGTTCCTTCACTGAGTAGGAATGGATTCTATAATCCATTCTATAGTCACAGCCTGGCAACTGCTGTGGAGCAGAAAAGGGGAAGGGGACTGGTGGTGGGGGGAGGCAGCACTCCCTCTCTGCCCTCCAGTACTTTTGCCCAGACACCCCCACCCCATCATCACCACAGATTCCCACCCCAAAAGCAGGTGCAAAGAGCCAGCATTTCACAATGCTGTATCCGAGAGGAAAAGTGGCCTGAAGTCATTGGTTATGTGTGAAAGTCAAAGCCACAGGTACACTGTACACCCAACTGCAGGATGCCGGAGTAGGCAGGCTGGCTTTCTGTGCCCACAGTACCTTGCCAACTTCCTTCTCTGGGACTCCTCTCAAGAGAGCAAAGAACTCCACATGTTCTCTCCCAGTCAGTAGCTCTGTGATGGCATCAAACTGAGGGCAATAGCCCATGCTCTGATGTACTTCATCGATATTTGATAAAATACTGCAGAGAAAAGTACAACTGGTCAGGTTTTAAGCATTCAGAGATATTCCGATTAGACAATCTGACCTGAAGTTCCTATAAAGTATGCTTCTGCATGACAAAAATACCAGTTTGCACACCTGCTGCTGTTTAAAGGAACAGCCTTTCTGTTCCCAGGGTGCCAGAGGCAAAGGGTGACCACCTGGTAGTCTGCGTGCCCTGCCTCTATCCTTCCCAATCCTTGCACCTGGCTCCCCCAACACCTCAATATGCAGATTGAGCCACATTTCCAAATTCCCAAGTCCACCCCAAATGCAGTATCAACTTTATCAAAAACTTGGATCACACCATCCCGGGGCTTTAATCCAAGTCTCCTTCTCAGCCCTTGAATCTGTGGCCCAGTCACATGTACCACATGTTCCTTGTTGTTCCAAAGTTTCCTTTATGGTCATTCAGATCCAGAGAAGGCCCAGCAACTCTGGATGCGAGCCATCCTGCTTTCTGCCGCCCACACACTGACTCAGTTACAGGGGCATACTCCAGTCCCCTTGGTTCCATGGGATATCCAGCCCAAGTACCCTCCTGGTTCTCAAGGTTTTTTTTTATTACAGACTCTCTGAGAACCTTGTGACAGGAAAAATTACACCTACAGACACAATTTTCCACGTTAAAAAAAAAAATTTTGCTGTTGATTCTGACTAATGGCAGCCCCATGTATTTCAGAGCAGAAGTGCACTCTGTAGGGTTTTCAATGGCTGTGATCCTTCAGAAAAAGAACACCAGGCCTTTCTTCTGAGGTGCCTCTGGGTGGATTTGAACTGCAAACCTTTCGGTTAGCAGCCGAGTGCTTAACCATTTGCGACACCTAGGGAATCCTTTTACACATAATGGTGGGGACTTACAGGCCCTATGAAGCCAATCTTAGGTTGAGAACCCCAAGGTGGAGGAAGCTCTTTGTCCAGACCCCAGTCCAGTGGCTGCACTTCAGTCACCTCTGGGCTGCCATAGGCTTAGCCTTTCAGCAGAACTCATTCCTCTTGGCATATCTCACGTTCCCCCCCAGGGCCAGACTTTTCTAGAATTATGAGACAGCCCATGCACACAGTGCAAGGCCCTCTCAGCTACACCATTCAAGCCAGCTCTTACAACAGACCCTATGACAAACCTTAGTTTAGGCCAGTTATTGCTGCCATTTTAAAACTCTTTCGTTACCATTGGGTTAACGGTATACCAGCCACTTTTTATGCCTCTGGAATTCACAGGTAAGGCATTATTCCGGTTCTAATGCATTTAGTATCAAGGTGGGTCCCTTCTGAAATGCGTGAAGCTCAGTGGACTGGAGTTGAAGCCTCACTGTTGTGCAGATTGAGCATTTTGGCCTCCCCCTCTCCCTTTACTTCTGTGAGATACAGCTTGTAACAGCATAATTACGGCTTTCCCATGTGATATAGAGCCCTGATGGGTTTGTTTTGTTTTTTCTGTGTCATATTTGGAAAACCCAAGTTTCCCCATGTAACCTAATGCAAAGGTACCTACAATAAATTATTTATATAGCTCTCATTGGTATATTGTCATACCACAGATCAGTCATGCCACAGTGCCACTCACCTCATTGGTGGCTTGTATTACCACATCATATTTCTCAAAATCCATATTACAACCAAAAATTTAAACATACTTATTTGGTAAGCATGTATTCCAATACTGAAAACACACACGTTCAAAAAAAAAAAAAATCAACGAGAAAAAATGTAGTAACAAAAGGGATCTGCCCCAGGAGCCTTGTACAAGGACAAGTCTGGGGAAGCAGCTGCACAGACCTAGGCCAACTATTCTCAGAATTTCTGCTCCCTTAAGCAGTGGTGGTACAGTGGTTAAGAGCCTGGCTGCTAATCAAAAGGACAGCAGTTCAAATCCACCAGCCACTCCTTGGAACCCTATAGTGCAGTTCTACTCTGTCCTATAGGGTCACTATGACTTGGAATTGACTCAATGGCAAGGGATTTGGTTTGGTTTTAAGCTTCCTTACATTGCCACTGAACAAACTGGCAAGAGACAGAAGGGAAGATTGATGAGCACATTAAGATTCTTGCTCTTTTCAATTTCATTGGCTAGTAGCCCCCACTCCAGTGTTTTCGAATTTTGAGTCACCAGCCATTAGTGAGTTGAAGGTAAATTTAGTTGATCATGACCAGACTTTTTCTGAATTACATGGTATAGAGTAGAAGAAGAAATATCAGAGTAATTACAAGAAATAAAAGTAGATACTGTTTTATAAAACCTTTTTTTTTTTTAATTGTATGTGTGAGTGGTTATGTGTCTGTGTGTATGTGCTAGATTGAGATGTAAAATGTATTTCCTACTATGGGTCATAGTCAAAAAATTTGAAAACCACTGCCTTATACCATCTTCCCACATAAAAAGCCCAGAGAGGCATCACATGTTTAGAATACTCAAGGGCAATACTGTCTAACAGGTCTCTAAAGTGTAGCTGTATCCCCAAAGATTGAATTGCTTATTGACCTGTGAATTCTCAGATAATGGCCTGATGGTGGCCTCATCAACTTGTACACCATTTAGGGAAGGCAATTTAGCAGGCACATAATCTCTGATCCTAGGAAATTTCCCTGAGGAAGTAATCAATCAATACAAGGACATATTTATATAGCATACTGGGTTGGACAGAATCCTCCCAAAATTCACATCCACCGAGAAACTGTGAATCTTATTTGGAAATAGGGTCTCTGCAGATGTAATCGAGTTATAATGAGGTCACAGTGGATTAGGGTGGGCCCTAACCCAATGACTGGTATCCTTATAAGAAGAGGAAAATTTGGACACAGAGATTCAGACACACACAGACACAGATATACAGGGGAGAAGGCCATCTGACAATGGAGGCAGAATTTGGAGTGATGAGCCCAGAAGCCAAGGAATGCCAAGGATTGCCAGCAAACCAGCAGAAGCTAGGAAGAGGCGAGGGAAGTACCCTTCCTTACAGCCTTCAGAGAGAGCACGGCCCTGCTGACACATTCATTTCAGACTTCTTTTTGTTGTTTTTAAGCCAGCCAGTTTGTGGTATTTTGTTATGGCAGCTCTAGGAAACTAATACACACAGTGAAAAATGCAAACCTCTGATGTCTAGCAATAAGTAAGTGATTAAATAAATTATAGTACATATACTTTGTGGAATTTTATGTAGTAATGTAAAATTCTATTTCTTAGAATATATAACTCAATAGGAAATATTCAAAATATGCTCATAGTAAAAACTAACTTGAAACTCTATATACATTATCATCTCAATTTTATAATACATTTATACAAATGTAAAAAAAAGAAAGATTTGGGATGATGGCAACGTGCTAAAACTGGATTGTAAATTTACTAAAATCACTGAATTGTGCTCTTAAAATGGATAAATTGTATGGTATGTAAATTATACCTCAACAGAAGTATTACAAAATAAAGTGAGATTGAAAGGAAGTATAAATAATGATTATCTCTAGGTAGTGAGATTGTGGATGATTTTTATTTTCTTCTTTACACTGTACTACATTTCAGTATTTTTATGAACTCTATATAATAGTGTTTTAATCAGAAATAATAAACAATATATTTTCTTTAATAAAGTAAAAAAGGTCTTTGTGGCAAAATGCAGGCCACTTTTCTCACCTATTTTTGTTAAGAAAAGCATCTCCTCTGGTAACAGTGGTATCTCCAGTTAACATCTTGAAAGTTGATGATTTCCCAGCCCCATTAACTCCCAGAAGTCCAAAACACTGAAAATATAAGATTGAGTAACTTGTATAAGCAAACTACTAAAAATCTGAATATAAATGACCCTTGTGAGATAGGCACCTTAGTTTTTAATATAATATGATCCTAAAAATTATTCTGTACTTTATTGACTATGCAAAGGCATTCAACTGTGTGGATCATAACAAATTATGGATAACATTATGAAGGTTGGGAATTCCAGAACACTAAACTGTGCTCATGTGGAACCTGTACATAGACCAAGGGGCAGTCGTTTGAACAGTACAAGAGAATACCACATCGTTTAAAATCAGGAAAAGTGTGTGTCAGGATTGTATCCTTTCACCATACTTATTCAATATGTATGCTGTGCAAATAACCCAAGAACCTGGACTATGTAAAGAAGGACGCAGCATGAGGACTGGCAGAAGACTCATAACAATCTGTGATATGCAGATGACACAACCTTGCTTGCTGAAAGCAAACAGGACTTGAAGTACTTACTGATGAAGATCAAAGATCACAGCCTTCAGTATAGATTACACCTCAACATAAAGAAAACAAAAATCCTACAACTGGGCCAATAAACAATATCATGACAAATGGAGAAAATACTGAGGTTGTCAAGAATTTAATTTTGCTTGGATCCACAATCAATGCCCATGGAAGCAGCAGTCAAGAAATCAAACAACTCATTGCACTGGGCAAATCTGCTGCAAAAATCTCTATAAAGTGTTAAAAAAGCAAAGATGTCACTTTGAGGACTAAGGTGCACCTGACCCAAGCCATGATATTTTCAATTGCCTCATATGCATGCGAAAGCTAGACTATGAATAATGAAAACTAAAGAAGAATTGATGCCTTTGAATTATGGTGCTGGCAAGGAATACTGAATATGCCATGGACTGCCAGAAGAATGAACAAATCGGTCTTGGAAGTACAGCCAGAATGCTCCTTAGAAGCAAGGATGACAAGACGTCATCTCATGTACTTTGGACATGTTACCAGGAGAGATGAGTCCCTGGAGAAGGACATTATGCTTGGTAAAGTAGAGGGTCAGCGAAAAAGAGAAAGACCCTCGATGAGATGGATTGACACAGTGGCTACAAAAATAGGCTCAAACATAACAACAACTGTGAGGATGCTGCAGGACTGGGCAGTGTTTCATTCTGTTGTACGCAGGGTTGCTATGAGTCAGAACTGACTCGATGGCACCTAACAACAGCAACAAAAATTATTCTTGAATATCAATGAAGAGTCGAATATTTTCTTGGTTTTACGATGTCATATAGATATTTAAACATATATTTTATAATGGGGCCATTTTAAGAGTGTGTGTATTTGTTAATACTATTTGAGTCATCAGGTTGAAGCCGAAGTTAATGGTAAAAGACAGTAATGAAAGCCAGTCAATCAAATTTCACCATCTAATCTGGGTAAAGAGCATAAAAGAACACAAACATGAACAGGAAAGAAGAAAATCTATTTTTTTTAATCTATTTGAATTTCATCATCATTGTGAACAGGTCACAAAAGCACATTTTGGATGTTCATGCTTTTTTTAAACTACTTGAAATTATTCAAAATCACTCCCTTTTGACATCCTCTCAATGACTTATTGTTCCACGTAGACATAATAGAGAAGGCTTTAAAAGCCACTTTTATCCCTTACAGACATTCTTGTTTTGACTGGGTAGAGGGAGTCTGAATTAATAGGAACAAACACAGCTTGAGCCAAGCGCCTTTACCTCGCCAGGAGGAATGCCAACGCAAATCCTGTCAACTGCAGGCTTCCTCTTCCTTGTATAGATCTGCAACAAACGAAATCCAAGAATTTATGAGCCTCGGGGCTCACAGCTATCCTCAGTAACCATAGAAAAAGGAATTATTACTCAAACACACCATGAAATACGGCTCATTGATAAGTCACATATCTTATGTGCTCATAGCCTTGGCTGTCTCTGTGTCAACCAGCTACTGATGGGCTCTACAGCTCAAAATGTGGATTTCTTTCTTTTTTTTAAAAAAAAAAAAATCTATTATCAATCTTTAAAAAAGCATACTGGCCATTAATATTTATGTAACTTTTCATTTATTTAACATAGCAAGATATTGGCAATATTTTTTTAATTATAGAGATTCTACAGGGTAGAGATCTGCAGTTAAGGTAAGATTCATATGTACTTATTGCAGAAAAGTGTATTACTGAAATTCTGGCACCTAGGGAGGGATGAAACAGACCTTGCTTTTAAGCAGCAGAAACAGATCAGCTTTCTGGACTATAAAACTCAAAATCAGCCATTACCCTCCCTACCTCTGCTTTGACTAGATACACAATATTAGTATGTTTTAATAACTGACACATAAATATAAGTGTGGAAAACAAATATATTCAAGAACAAGAAATCACATTTCCAAAGGATTCTCAGTAGGATTTCTTTAATTAAGGAGTCTCCATGGTACACTTTAGATAAAATTAAACTGACAGAAGTTTGGTATGTATACATGCACATTTTGGGAAGCATGCTCTTTTCATCCTAGTTCCTGACATATAAAGCTGAAAAAATTGAACATCAGCTGCTACAGCGTGTACTTACTGCCTCACCTTAGTCAAGTCTTTTATTTCCAAGATGTCATTCTGTCCTCCACCATCAAGAATTCTCTGTCTTTCCCGCCTCACGTCTTCATCCTCATCATTCAGAGGAGGAAGCTTTGTATTTACAGGTCTTAGAGGGAAAACATTTAAGAAAAATCAATCCTTTAATCCATTTTTCAAGACAAAGATCAAGTCTCTCAAGAAATCCTACAAAGCCTACTCTCCACAATTTCCAGGAACTACAGAGCAGCAGCTGCAGAATGCCCACACTAAGAAAGTCGGTTTGATTAGCTACTTTGAGTTCAGCGCAATCCAACCACCACTGAAGCGTATTTCCCTCTGTTCCTCCTCTGTGACCCTCAGCCAGGCCGAGCTCCATGAGTTCTGAGAAAAAAACCTCACCTGGGCCTGATGAAGAATCTGTACTGGATCAGAACAGTAATGAGGAAGAATACCACCCCTTCCACGGCCATGGCGAAGAGGTTCCGTCCCACCAAGTCCCAAGAGAGTGGCGAGACAAAGCGGTTCTCCCCTGTAGACACATTCAGAGATCCAGTCAGAATGAAGGCGCTGCAGACCACGGCCCTTCCTCAAATTTGGGATCAAGTTCACCTATCTCCCTAGAAACACTAGTGGGTATCACCCACGACAAGGAGAGAAAATAACAAGGGTGTTGCCACTTTCCAAGGCTGGTTTTGGGCAGGGATTCGGGAAACACTGAGCTCAGCATCAATCAGCATTTCAGAGCCAACATGTATTAGATCTGTAATTTCCTCTAAGATACCAAACATTTCCTTTTTAGTGAGCCATGCTGAAAATCCTTTAAGAAAAGGCAAACAACACCCTCCAATTCAGGGTAATTCTTGGGTCAATATTTTAATAAATTCTAAGTTTCACTAATAAGAAAAAGATCAGAAAGCACTTTGACCAAAAGATGCCCCTTTCAGTAGCATATAACATAACCTAGTGACTCAACTAAATCACCTAGTTATTATATAAATATTCCTTAAATTCCTTATACATGTCCTTTGTCCCTCCAAGTTGAAAAAGAGTCCCTCTTCTATGAAATGACATGCCCCATATATTAGCCAGTGAATGAATGATAGTAATGTGGCCACAGGAGAAATATTTTTAGACTCTAAAGGTAGAAAGTGCTGTAGTAAATTACCCTTTTATAGACTGTGTAAAAGATAATATATGGACACATCTGCAAGCCCCTTATTTGTCTAATAGTCAGAGTCAAAGTTTGCATCTTTCCTTCTGATTCTCTGGCCCATATCTGATTTCCAAAGCTGTGGTTTGACTCTTCCAGTGACCCTGACACTCTTTTACTGGTTCCAAGCTTACACTGAGTCCCACCTCCAAAACTCTCTCATTTTCCTCAGTGCTATTAGAAGCAAGACACAAATGGCTGTGTCACAAGACGCTGCCTTGGCAAGCCCTACAGTGGAGGGAAGTGCTGTACCCAGTCACCAACCTCATTACAAAACACAGGGCAGAGGACCAAGGCCCATGCAAAATGCCATCTCCATTAAGGTATCCCACAGCCCCTGCGGTCACTCACCAAACCTTTCCAGGGCATCAGCCATTGCCTGGTTTTTCACCATGTCAATGAGCCCCCGTCCCAGGCAAAAATGTGGGAAGATCAAGAACACAGACTTCAGGATATCATTGATGTTATTCAGCTTCTAAAAAATAAGAGAAATAAAAAGAGAAGGAGGAAGAGAGATTGAATGTCATTTGTGATTTAGGCTAAAAATTGATCAAAGTCTGAAAAATGGGAATCGAGAGAAAATTTGATTCCCTAGAGACAAAACTGGACCTTTGAATTCAGACACCAATGAATAGCAGCAGCCATAGCTGATGACATAACATTTAAAAATCTGCTCTTTAGAAAACTTGGAACAATGCTCTGAGTGGGGAAAGAAATGAACATAAAATTTAGAAATAGGGCTATGTTTAATCTATAACAAAATGATTGCTTAGCATTTTAAATATATATTATGTCTGAGGCCATAGTTGAGTTTCAGGATTCTACTGGAATTTTTAAAATTATTTTTGACTACTTTAAAACTTATTATGTCCCAATAAGCCAGTCACTACCACCATCAGTTGCCATTAAATCAATTCTGACTCATGGCGAACTCATGTTATCAGTGTAGAACTGTGCTCCATAGGGTTTTCAATGGCTGGCTTTTTGGAGAAGATCACCAGGCCTTTCTGCTGAGCAGCCTCTTGGTGGACTAACACCTACAACCTTCTGGTTAGTAGCTGAGTGTGTTAACCATTTGAATCACCAGTGGCGATATATTCAACAACTGAGTGAGCTGCTGTGTGCTGGATGCTATGCTAGGGTGTTGGAGAACCAAAGGTTAATAAGAAACAGTCTCCACTCTGAGGAAGAGAGACACATGAACAGGAAATTAGTACATAATTGGGTATGTGTTGTACTGGACAGCCCAGGGAAAGGCGAGCACACCTCCCACAGGGCAGGTAAGGAAAGCGTCACATCTGAGTTGAACCTTGAAGGGAAAGCGAGACACTACCAGACTCTGAGATGGTGGAAGTGCATTTCAACCCAGACCTATGGGAATACGGTGGGTTTAAGGGACAACTTCAGCTGAAGCTTACAGTGCACTTGGAAAGAGGGTGGTGAGAACTGACCAGGAAGGTTCATGCACCTATAAGGCTTTCTGTGCCAAGCAAAGGTGTTTGGACAAAGGCAATGACAACAGGAAGGGAGAGGGAAACTTCCTTAAGAGATCTATAACTGGAACAATAGTAATCTGTTGAATGTGGGAAATAGGCAAAAGCAAGGCATGCAGGTTGACTCTAAGGCTGCGAGGTTGAACATGTGGGTGGATAATAATGCCATCCAGTGTGACAAGGATGGCATGGTGGCACAGTGGTTAAAAGCTCGGCTGCTAACCAAAAGGTCAACAGTTCAAATCCACCAGCAGCTCCTTGGAAACCCTATGGGGCAATTCTACTCTGTCCTTTATAGAGTCGCTATGAGTTGGAATAGACTCCGAGGCAACAGGTTTGGTTTTTGTTTTTTCAAGGAGAAAGATGATTAGGACATGTTTACTCTGAGGTATTTATAAAATACCTAAATGAAGCCATCCAGTAAGCAGGTGACAACGTAAGCCTAGAGTTCCAGGGAAGGATCGGGGCTAAAGGCATAGATATGAGAGGTAAAAAATACAAGAAATCAAGGGAGAAAATCAGAAAAAATATAAGAAATGAATGACATCACTTAGGGATAGTGTCTAAAGTAGAAAGCAAAGATGGCAGAGTAATCATGGGAAAGGCACCATTTAAGAAGAAAGAAGAACAAAAGAAGCTGTCAAAGGAAACTGAAAAGGCTTGATCGGAGAAACATAATGAAAAGCAGGAGAGCCCAAGGGAACTCAGGGAAGAACATAAAATTTAGAAATAGGGCAATGGTTAACCCAGAGCTATGTGAACCCAGGGAAGAGAGAATTCGAAAAAGACAAGAGTGGTCAGTGGTGTCAATGCCACAAGTTAAATAAAATCCATGTCCTCCGGCTCTCAGAGATGCTCATCCCAACAAAAAGTCGCTCTTTCTGCAGAACTCACATTGTTGGTGAAGAGCTCCAGTACAAAAGTGGCGACACTGCCATTGATCCCAATAAAGAGGTTCACGCTGGTGAGGACCACATAGGCTGTGCTAGGGATCTTGAACACGAAGGAGGCTGGGTACATAAGAGGTGTGATTGACCACCTGGTGAGGCATAAAGATACGTGGTTACTGGGAGTCCTCTGCCTTCTATCACTGGGCACCATATGCCTTATCCACCAAGATCCGTTTGCCTTACCCATACAGCAAAAGTAGAAGGGCTAGCACAGGCAGGTTAGTGGAGGACACATAGGACTTCTGCTGGAAGCAGATGAAGATGATAATGACCAATGTCGCAGGGACCACATAGTTGCACTAAAAGTGAAAACAAAGAAAGAAAGTTCACCCCGAAGTCAAATATACAACACATCTCAAGTTTTCACCCTTAAGGACAAAAAAGGGCAGATAAACTCTGAATTAATGAAGCCACATAAACTATTAATCAAAATACTGGACAATGCATTTTGACAAGCATTTTACCCTTGGCTGTTTTTATAAACCGCATACCCTTTCTGTCTTTCCAACAGCTAAGCCAAGGTGTCACACTCTGTAAACTTACTGAACGATGGATTCCCAGTCAAAGTAATTTCAATTTCACAGGCAGCAAATAAGCTTCCATTATTCTTCCAAGATGATTGTGTCTGTTTCATCATTAATGCTATATTACAGTCTGCCCAAGTTCAATCTCACATGTAATCTATTTATGAGACAAGCGCTCATAACATAAATGTCAGAATTGTTTCATCATACTGAGAATAATTTTAAAGTCTGTCCTGACAGTGTATCAAGCATTAAAATGCAGAAATAAAGACCTGACCACAGGACAATTATGAGAATTCATAGCTGGCAGAGCAAAGCAGAGGCAAAGAGGTGATGAGTGAGTTTGTCAGCAGTTAGAAGGATTACAGCATTAGACCACAGAATTCTGCCTCAGCCCCATCCTACTCGATGTGTTTATCAACAACTTAGATGAAGACATACTTATAGTAAATTTCAGAGGCTCTAAAGCAGAGAGGGACAGATAATACACAGGCGGGTAAGCGATATCCTTGAGTTCAGAGACTGGATCTTTCATCTCTGAATACCCTTATGCACACAGAGCAGACATATAGTGAACACTCAGTATATGTTTGAATTAATTAACTTCTGGATCAAGAGCAAAAAGGTTATAACAAATAGACACTAAACAAGTAAGATGCAATTTAATAGGGATAAACATAAAATTTAGACTCGAAAAAGTCAATTTATTAGCATTAGTATAGCATGACAAAGACCCAATCAACAATCATTTGTATAAAATGAAGGCTGCAGTTCACTGCCAAGTTGCCAATAAGATAGTGCTACTTCCAAAACGCATTAGCCTTGGGCTGCAGTATTAAAAGTATGGAACACAGATCAACTCCCTCTAGGCTCGTAACCATCCAGACCACACCCTGAACACAAGGTTAATTCTGGGCTTTGCTTTCAAAGGGACATTAACAATATGGAGCATGGCCACAGAAAGGCAATCAGATCAGAACAGTGCCAAGACTGAGAGGCTTGGTTTAATTACCACAGACGCATCATCTTCTTCATCATCATCATCATTCATGTTTGTACAGTGTTTTAGAGATTACAAAGTGTGTTTGCATGTATAATCTTATCTGGGGAAAACTTGGGTAAAATAAGAATTATCATCAAATATCCAAGGGATTGCCTGGTAGGAAAAGAATTAGGTTTCCTCTACATGGTTTCCAATTGATAGAAGTCACAGGGAGATATTTTTCAGCTCCACTTTACCATAATTAGAACTTCAGAATAATTATGGAATAATAATTATGAAACTTCTCCATATTGGTCCAAACAAATGTAATATGTTATACCTGGTACAAAAACATATTTACAATGGATAGACAAGCTTCTGATAAAATACAGAGTTTTCAAATGATAGATGGGTTACCTACTAAGGCAAAGAACACCCTGACTCTGGAGGTAAAAACCTATCAGAGAAGTTAGAGGCATTGGCTTGGAGTTTTGACTAACGTCCTTCTATCTTTATGTTTCTTTGAAAAGTTTCACTTAGGAAATTAGGTGGTAGTGGTATTAATTACAGTCAGTGTGGACACATTTTCCCTTTGGTATGAGATCAGCTCCATACCCAATGCTGTATTTGGTGTCACGAAAATGTACAACTAACTCTGGCTTTTCCTTTTTCATACATCTTTAGAATAGCCTGAACACTTCCTGGTGGTAACCAGGGTCTCTTGCTTCCTTATACATGCTGAGCCATGGCCCTGATGGAGATTGATAAAAAGGCAGCAGACCTGTGTCCTTACCATATCCCAGACAAAATTGGAAAGCCAGTAGATGACGGGCTTCACTCCACTGATGAACTGCAGGTGCTTCGCTTTGCTGACCCGCTCCTGAATCAGGAACACGACAAAGCTGGCCGGCACGAAGGACATCGCAAAGATGACACAGATGGAAACAAGGACGTCCACCGATGTGGTCATTCTGTAAAGAAAAAGGTAATGAGGATCTGAGGGGCCCTTGATGCAATCTAGGACTCAGTCAATAGGGATACACACACACACAAACACACTCACACTCTCTCTCTCACATCCAAATGCTCTCTCTCATGCACACACATGAACACTCAAAGCATAGCTCAGAAAAAAAATCTGTTCATAAAACTTATTTTATTCGAGAGTTAAAAGATGATCATTTTCAGAAAAACTGAAAATTCAAACACAAAACTGATTCCACTGAGGTTGAAAAAGAATCTACTGCTAGATGTAACTACTGAAAGAGGTCTGAGAACAGTCTAATGGCGGTCACTTTGGTCCCCAGCATCCACTGTTCTTGCCCTTGTAAGAGCAGCAGGGTGTAAATTTTCACACACAAAGGACTAGTGTGACTTGAAAACTTAAGAAGAGCAGAAAGATCAGGGTGAAACTACTCTAATAAGTTCACTTTTTCAGGCTGTAACTAAATTTGAAAACTACAGTGTGTACCAGATCAGTCTAACATAAAAATTCTAACAATTCTTGTTATAATGAGTCCATAAACCCATTAAATAGGGTGTTGGTATAAAATTCCTACTGACTACTGGTATCCTAGTTAAGCAGAAATGCTAACTGTGTCATGCTCCGCATATAGAAAAGAGACCTAATGTATGTTGAAATGAGTATCAACTACATGCCAGGTAATGGGCTTGGCAATTTACATAAATTGTCTCATTTAACATCATACTCTAGAAAGTTTTGAGACCAGATTCAACCCAGATCTCTGTGATTCCAAAGGCTGTACACTTTACACTAGATCATACTAGCTTTAAACTTGACAAATTGTTTAGAAGACTTACCCCAAAAATAAAGAAAAAAAAGTAAATTCAAGAATTAAAAACACAATTAAGTTAATAAAACATGTTTCACCAAGTATAAAATAGTGATTTCAAAACAAATGAAACTGATTTTTATTAAACATATGTGTTAATCGTGAGTTAAATTATCTTAGGGTTATTAACAACGTTTTAAATCTCTTTTTCTGAATTTACTAAATGCAATGATTTTTACAGATTAGTATTATTTCTCGTCCTCAGTTCAAGAAGCCCTGTCAGCCAATCTGTAACCTGATCATTTTCTGCCGAGAGCCTGGATCAACTTAGAGGTACCATAATGTAACTATCTCCCAGTTGTTATCCTACAACCAGCTTCATACTTCCTTCCTCTGCTCCAGGACTCCCCAACACCCTCTCCTCTCCTTTCCCCACCCCATCCATTCATACAGAGCTATACTTACAGAGCCACTTCTGAGAGCTGCTGCTTAGTGAGATTCAGAGGGTGATTAAAAGCAGTAATCCCGTATTTGCTCGGGTTCTCTCCCTTCTGCAGGTTGGCCCGGAGAATGGCATTGTTGATGACATTCAGGAAAGAGCTGATGGCATGCCAGCCCTTGTTGTTAAACCACACCTAAAATAAAACATACCAGATAGAGAGTAATACCCCTAAACCCTGCTCCCAGAGGTAAGTGCACACACAAAGTATATACACAAGCAGGGAGGAAATTCCAGTCACCTACCTACCAAGCCAAAATATTATAGTCTGAGAACATGGAAAGTAATGATAGCAACCAGGATATTCTGAGCACTGACCGTGTGCCCAGATACATGCCAAGTACTTTAAATCTTTTACTCATTTAATCCTCACAAAAGCTTAGTGATAGCTATGATTACTGTCCCTATTTTATAAGTGAGGAAACTGAGGCTTGGATAGGTTAACTAACTTGGTCAAGTCACAATGGCTCACTTAGTCTGTCTGGCGGCAAAGCAAATTCTCTTAACTACTATACAATATTGCCTCTTTGGTAGAGTCACAAGTATGCTCTTTCCTTTCAAGAACAGCCACTATCAACTTTATCATGAGCTGATTAAGTACTTCAGGGAACATAAGGATTACTGCCCACCAGGAAGCTACTAGAACACAGACAGGGCTTTACCTTGACATTATTTTTGGTGTCCAATCCAGTCATAAACCTTCCTAAGCTGCTGAGAAATCGATCTGCAGAACTGTCCTGTGAACAATGGAAACCTGATTCAGTTGTGATGGTTCACACAGGTAAGGGGCAACATTAAGTTTACAATCTGTGGAAAACTGGACAATCCTGTGAAAAGCAATATGACCTCGTTCATTGAAATTAAATTTGAAGCCACTGTATAAATGGCCCCTGAGAACTAAGTGACCCAAAATCTAAAGCACTGATATTGCCACAATGTCACAAGTCTTGAAGGAATCACAGGGAAACTCCATGATTCAAAGTCCTAAGACTCAGACGTCTGGCTATAATGGGGTGATGAGGATTGTTCAGAGTGGCCCCTGCGCATCATCACAAGAGCCACAACCACACTCTAGGTGCAGACACGGCAGACAAACGGTGTCTATGCTTCAAAAGCAAAGACACAGGCTCCAGGACTATCACTGTTGTCCAGGATGCTAGAGTCCATGTCATCTGACGCCTCGAATTCTCATTTAAAACCAAGCAACTTGAGTTGCAGAGAAATGAAGTGAGAATTTATCAGATCTTGAAGACCAGCCTGCCAACTTAAAACAGAAAATGATTCATCTCCTCTTTAGCCAGTGAATGTTTTAGGAATGTATGTCTGAATCCAGTTTACTTACCCACTGGCTAGATTTATAAACTTAGTTATTTAGAGAACTTTTAAACCTCTGAATTTGTTTTTAATTTACACTTTTAAGCTTTTAAACATACCCTGAGTACTCTCGGCTGCCGCAAGATCACTAAATACCGATGATGGCTTTCTATCCAAAAGGCTTGAAAGCAATGTGCTGCTAGGTGATCAGATTTACCCACCAAGTATCCCCATAAACCAGCTGCTCTGGGGCCGATTCTTCTGACATGTCTTGGGATGGATACTGTACCTTGACCAGCTTCAAGTGTTTCTTCACTTGCTTGATGGCATCATTAACTTCTTCACTTGGAGGAAGTACTTGAGAATTACTGGCACCCAGGGAAAACCCGCCATACCTAAAGAACAGCCTAACATTAAAATGCAGACAACGTGCTGCACAATATCACTCAGCAACAGATGCCACCCACATGTGTATACATGCTTCATGTAGAAGAATTTTCTATTCAAAGGAGGTCCAAAGTTAGACTCAGTAAAAGGTACACCTGGGCCTCCTCTAATGGATTCTGGCAATCTCTTAACTCCTAGAGTTTCTGCCCAGGGTGCTAACAGAAGCTAGATGGGGAGACTTGTGCCTGATAATACGCAGAGTTAAGACATCTGAGACACTAGGGAAAGAATGGTCATTCATCTCACAGATGCCCCTCCTGTCCTGGTGGCTCAAGCCTGAACTTGGGTATGGACGAAGGAGATGGGGAGTCAGGATGCAGGGGATAGGGGGATGCTGGCCACACAATACAGGCTAGTTAGAGCTTTTAGATGGGTCTTGGCTCTTCCCTAGCTTAAGGGCCACTGCAGGGGTCTATATCTGCTCTACTCAAAGTTCCACAGGTCCTGGTCCCTTGGGGAAAAGGCAAAGAGGAAAGGTAAAAAGCAGTGACAGGAACCCAAACTTTGAGGTCCCCTGAAGCAACCATATCAGTTATCTCATTTTCCAGGAAGAACAAATTGGCTTCAAGGATTCTTCCTTTCCTTTTTCTTCCCTAGTCCCACAGGTTCCTTCAAAACCCAGAGGGATAGATAAGTGCGTTGCAAAGCAGTAGAAGCAGAAAATTTCAACACTGGCCTCTTCATTCATCTCAAGACTTTCTTGGACCCATGGCAAAGGCCTGAAAAACTGTCCCTGAGTCCCGAAAGTCCCCTGAGAATCTGATTTGGGGTAAAAGTATAACTAGGTTAGGTATTCCCCTAACAATATTCTACTTCTTATTAAATCCCTAGCAACCCACAAGAGGTTTCTGAATGTCTCAAGGAAATCAGTTTTTTGCCAAATATTTTAGAGGCCTCTGAAGTGGCAGCTGGACACCAAGGAAAAAATACCCTAGGCAAAAACCCCAAGACATGTCTAAATCTAAATCTGACTGTACCCCTCTGTTGTCTGCTGAGCCTGAGGCCCTTGTCCTCCCCCATGGTGAGGTGGACCCAAGAGTATGTCAGCATCAAACAGTCCCCTAAGCCAACAACCTTTCTCCATCCAGAATTCCTGCATCAAAATTATACTCCTAAACTAAAGGAGTCAAGGAAAACTGAAAGAAAGGGCAGAAAAGAAATCAACTTACCTAAATTCATTCACCCAGATCTTGTTCTTTAAGCTACAAAAGCCAAAGACAAAGAAACCAAAAAATCAGCTCAAAGAAAGCATTAATCACATTCCTGATGATGCAAAAGGAGTAAATATCTAGGTAAGGATACAACAAAGGGACAGAAATAATACTATGATCAGGGTGACATTGTAGGATTGTGCCAAATGAAAGAAGCCCTAATCAGCATCTCCTTTGTTCTTTCCATCTTAAAAACATTATTTATATGAGAATATGCTTTGGAGTAAACCAATCTGAAAGCCACCTTATAGACCAAGAGATAGTATGTATGGCCACAGACACCATGTGATGGAAAATGAAGCTTTTTCAATTCGAAGGAATACTTAAAGACAAATGACATATAGAGTGGTTATGTTTCTTTCTTGGAAACCCACTGCCATTATCTTTCAAGCATACACTTGTCATTTAAAGTCACTGGAGAGGCCCAGCCAACCAAGCATAAGGGAAGGAAACCAGAACTTGAGTGTTAACTAAGTATTCGACACTGTGCTGCGATGTTTCAGGAAGCTACATGGCTCTTCCAAGGCTTCACAGCTAAGGCAGGCTGTGGATTCAGCCTGGAGCTCTCTTCATGATGCCACATATTATCATGAGTTCCATTCATGACAGAGTATCCATGACATTTTACATTTATCATTTTATTTAATCCTCACAACAAACACCTAACAGCAACATTATTATCGCATTTTATAGAAACTTAGTTTTAAAAGGTAACTGATTGACCCCAGCCAAGCAGCTCCTAAGTGGCAGAATTCAAATCTGAATCCAGATTTATTTGCATTCTGGACCAGGCTGCCTCATCTTTTAAGCTGACTCACAATATCTTGCATCATGTATTCTAGTTTGGGAGACTATCTTAAACTTCCAGTAGACATCACCAGGCCAAAAACCTGATGTTTCTCCCACCACTCCAGTCTACTATTTTTAAACCTTTAATTCCTCTAATCAGTAATAATGATAGAGACCAAGTTTACTAAATAATTACCTTTTGGCTATGATCTGCACATATGTCTTTACCAGATAATCTGAAATGTTTCTTCCCGTCAGGTTCTGAAGGATGTCCGCAGTGTTCTGTCTTCTCTGTCACCACATAAAAACCAAATACATACGTCTTTATGGAGCAGAAATGGGACAGAAAACAAATCAAGGACTACAGTGACGCATATCCTTCAAACATATACCACAGTGTCACTGGAGCCCTGGCCACAGGGCCCAGGCACTATCGGCCAACCACCACCAAGGCCTGCTGCATGCTGTCCCTGGCACTGGCCATTCCCTATGTCAAGCCAAGGTCGTCCCTGGAAAATTATTCTAAACAACTAAATAACACACAGTGAAATGAGATTCTTCATAGTCACAAAAGACTTTTAGGGAGAAATATCTTGGACTGTATCTAGTGAATTCTTTTATTCACTGAAGTTATACTGATGAAGAGATTAGCTGTTATTTCAAAGAGATGTAACCAGGACTTCTTTAAGTTCTCACATCCATTTAAAATTGCCTGTCCTCAGCCTACAATCTGTTGACTATAAAGAAACAAAGAGAGAACACCAACAAGCGCCTTCCTGAAATTATTCTCAGAAAAATGGCTCAGAACTCCTTCCCAAACTCAACGTCTCCGAGAAGGTCAGGCTTGATGAGACCTGCAGAAGTTTTCTGGTCCAGGCTGCCCAATTCATATGTGAGGACACAGGCCCAGGGAAATAAATGGCCTTTTCAAGGCCACCGGCTCATTTGTGCCAGAACCAGGGATGGAAGCCAGGTCTATAGTGTCCCAGCCTGGTACACCTCCTGAGACACCACCATTGTGGGAGAGGCCACAGTGTGTCTCCCCCAGGCCAATTTCCTACAGTGTTTGGCTTCAGTTTTAACTCAAACAAATAAGTAACCTAGGCTGGCTTTTCAAAATGGAGAAACAGGCTCCCTCGGACATAGGAACAATGGTCCTAACCCCAGCACCTCAAAGACGTACATGCTTTTCCCTATGACAAGAATTAAGATCAAGACTGAAATAAACCCCAATGATATGATATCTCATTCATTCCTGCTCCTCAAGCAGAAGCTACCCAGTCCCCATCTTCTCAGGGGCACCCTGAGAGTAACTCACTTGTGGAGGAGGCAGCCCCCCTGCCCCTGGGGGACACACGGGCAGCATCTTCTTGATTTTGTCACTGCTACACTGGCAGGCAGGTGAGGGGTTCTCCATCGTCCAGTTCCCCTTTTGGAAGAGGTCCGTGATGGTCTGGGGAACTGGGGCAGTGATCCACTCCTCTTCCCCCACCAAGCAGGGCATGTCTCTGCAAAGGGAAGACATCAAGGGAAGGATTACCCAAGAAATCCTGCTTTTCTATTGTCTCTGGAGCACAGGATTAATCAATAACAACCAAAAACATGCACCTATCCCCTCACCATTTGGAGATGACAAGTACAATCTCATCTGACTGATTCTACCACAGCCTTGTAAGCTGCAACATCATTTTTCAGATAAGGACACTGGAACTCAAAGAAGCCCTAAATGCTCATATACTGAACACCATTCAGTCCAATTAACCAGCATACTGCCACTCACCCATTTGTTCACCCAACAAATATTCACTGAGCATCTATGTGTCAGACACAGGTGTACAACTTTGAGAGTCTGGGGTGAACAAGCAAAAGTACTTATCCTCGTGGAGTTTGCATTCCCGTGGAAGAGACAGACAACAAACAAACAAATAAATAATATGAACTTAGTCAAAAATAAAGCAAAATAAAAGGAGAGTGACTAGGAAGAAGGGGGGCTAGTTTACCTAGATAAGACCTCCCTGAGGAGGTGATACTGCAACTGAGCCCTAAACGATCAGAAGGAGCAAGCCAGGCAAAGACTTTGAGGAGAAAGAGCATTACAAGTAGAGGCAACAGAGAGTCAGGTACAAAGGCCCTGAGAAGGAATGAGCTTTCTATATTCAAGGAACAGAAGGAAAGTAGAGTGGCTGGAATGTGGTGAACTGAGAGAAAGGGTGATGAACAGATGAGCAGGAGTGTGGCAGTGGCCAAATCATGGAGGCAAGGTAAGGAGTGTGCTGGAAGTCTGATGGAGAGTGGCAAGATCCAATGTTTATGTTTTAAAACAGAATGGGGGCGGGGGGTGAGATCGCCTCTGTGCCAGGTTTAGTGCTTGGTGCATAAGAACTAGGTTGACTGCAAGCATCCCAGGAGGCAAAAGACAAGGCCTTTATCCCTGGCTCACATTCTGTATTACTGTGAGATCTTTAGCCAGTCACTTGCCCTCTCAGGATTTATTTTCTCAACTGGTAAAATAAAAGTATAAAATGGTTTATTTCAAAAAGTCCCTTCTAGTGTCCTTTCCTGTTCTAAATTCTATTTATAGCAGAACCGTAGTCTTTATATTATTCCTGCATGTAATAAAAAATCAAATGAGCAGTGGAATGGTCTCTAATTCTCTCTTTAAAGCACCTCCACTAAACGGAAAGGTCAGATTAAGACATGGTGCCCACCTGAAGCTCACACTCTAAAACCTTCAAAAGATGACAGACTGAGACAAAGTTAAATATCATAAATTATATGCTGCAATTTAATGGGGTCTCAATCAAATTTCTCTCAGTTCTACTATCACTTTTTGAAAAACTAAAATGATTTTCAGCAAGAGTTTCCAGGATGCTGGGAGGCTGTTCCTTCAGGCTGCCTCCAAGAAACGTTCGGTGGTGCACCAATGCTGTGAACCCTTTGATGTCAAGCTAGCTCTGTAGGCTAGCTCTCAGCCCAGACAGGTAGATCCTACAGATCCTACCTAGGCTGGCATCAATCCATGAGTCCACTGGGTTCAGCTGGACAGCTGTGAATCCACCTAACTATATTATCATCTCATCCCATTCTTTTATCTTGCCTCCAAAATGTTCATGTAGAATCTCACCAAAGGTCTTAATGAAATCCAGATAGGCTGTGTATGTGTCCTTGTCCACTCTGGTCAGCCTGCTCTTTGGGAACCAATATTCACCACTCACTAAGTACTAACAAACATTTAGTAACTACCCATTTAATAAGAACTAACAAGTATATAGTAACTATCCATTTAATGAGAACAGGGGTCACCATGAGTTGGAATCCACTCAACAGCAACTGGTTTTTAACAAGTACATAGTAACTATCCATTTAAAAATCTGCTCCAGAACCTTACATGCATAGCTGTCATACTCCCTGGTCTGTCTTTTCCAGGGTCAGCCATCTTCCTCTCTTTAAAAACTGCAATTCACATTTGTCTTTCTCCTATCGTCCAGCACCTTCCTAACTCCCCATAATTGCTCAAAGATCACTGTTTGTGGTTTAACAACCTCAGCTGCAAATTTTGCCCGAGACTAGAAACTTGGACCATTTGTACCAGCACTGGGCTCTCTTATAAGTGCCTCACCTCTCTTCACAATCTTTATTCACAATGATTTCCTGACATACTTTCTTCCACACATTTAGAGTCATATGAATATTTCTCTGAGTTTATTTATGCCCCACCTACTTTTTAAAAAAGAATTTTGAAGGTAAGTATGATAAAAATATACAACTCTAAAAGTGGAACACATCCATTTTTATAAAAATTAGTATGTCATCTTGTTGTTAAAGTGAAGGATTTGCTGAGCTAAACTGCAAATTATATGTAATGGCAGCCTGTTGCTGCACTTAGCTACAGGGTTGGTGGGAGGGAGAGAAGGAGAAAGCATTTGATTAGTAAGTGTAAAGTGCTATTTAAATTAAATATTAATGTTCTAAAACATAAACAAATATCTATAATGATTTGCTTCGAAGGATATTAGAAGACTCGCCAAATGTTTGCTGCTAGATGGTTGGATTAGGCTACTACGTTGCCTTTTTTATTATGCTCGCTCTTTAAAATAAAAAATTACTCAAAGGCCAACTGAAGGCAGGAAGATGTGGCATGCAGCAGATATACGCAGGGTATTCGAGATCAAACCAGGCAACAAACACAAGAAGCCAGCCACAGAGGGGCTCATGGCACAAATGTACTTACGGAATTGGATTTCCTTCCATACACCGGGTTCCGAAGCCAGGGTCTTTGGTGAGGGCATTCAAGAGTTTCTGGGTGCTGATGTCCTCAGGAGCATCATTACTGTAGGTACATGAGAGGCAGCCTGCTCAGTAATTCATGAAAACCAGACATCGGGAGGTGTAAATGTTCTTCTAAATTAAACACTTTATTAAGTACTTCCTATGTGTCAGGCTCTTAAAACATTAATAAAACACGGAATCCACAGACAAGAAATTCAGACTCTGGTCACATATGTGGCATCAGGGTGATATCAGAACTCCAAAGCAAAGGTTGTATAAGTAAGTTATTGTTTGTATATATATACAAATATATATACACACACACGTAAATATGTGTGTGTATATACATATAAATATACATAGTATATACATATACTGTATATATATAGTATATGTATATATAGGCTGTGGTGGCACAGTGGTTAAGTGTTTGGCTGCTAACCAAAAAGTTGGCAGTTCGAATCCATCAACCACTCCTTGGAAACCCTATGGGGCAGTTCTACTCTCTCCTATAGGGTCACTATGAGTCGGAATCAACTCAATGGCAACGGGTTTGGTTTGGCTTTTATATGTATATATATGCATATATATTATACACGCACATATTTGAAGTTATATGTGTGTGTATTTATATATATTTACGAATTATGTGTATGTGCGTATACACACATTTGTACATATGTATTTATATATATGTACATGCACATACACATATATACACATTTACACATATATTTTACTATGAATGTATCAAGGATCAGTATTTCAAAAGTACTTTCAAAATTATCCATTAGATATAGACAACAGGGATTTTCCAGAAAAGAGGAGGCAGATTTTATCGGCTGCACAACTGCATGCACAATCACCGAGAAACCAAACCCGCTGCTGTCCAGTTGATTCTGACTCACAGCTACCAGATAACACAAACAAGGATGGGCACGGGTCACAAACACAAAACACAGCCCTGGGCAATCCAGGATTGGCAGTTGGGAAAAGAAAGAATAAAGTAAACCTGAACTACATAACAAGGAAATATGGGTTTAGAGAAAAAGAGACCAAAAAAAAAAAAAAAAAAGAGTCTTACCCTTAATATCACTGACACACTTCCCCATCCACAGATCTGTAAGTCCTACAGAACTGAAGAAAATCCCTGCCTAACAAGATCCAGAAATTCCTTTGTCCTTCTGTTTGAAGCACTGGTTTGTTATGGAGTAGGAGGTATTTTGTCTAAAGAACAAACACTAGCTAATATCCACAACTTAAAAGAATCAATAATAAATACATGAAGTGTACTGTGCAGAAAATAAAGTATTAACTTCCCGGAGGTGTTATGCTTTGACAGTGTATGGAAGTCCTATGACTCAACTACAAACTTAAAAACAGAGCAATGAAAATCCAAATATATTATAACTTACAGATTTTAGTGAAGGCAGATTATTTTACCTAAAACAGATAAGCCTATTCCTGACAATAGCAGTATAAAGAGGAGAGGGGCTCCAATGAAGCAACTGAGAAATGGCCTATTATTTCAGGTATGTTTACTGCTGTTCTTTGCATCTAATATTAGTCCGTGTAGGGGCCTTAGTCACAGCTGATAAAATCCATTACACTGTGTAATTCTTGAATCCATCTCCCCACTGGCCCTCAGCATAGTGAACACCTTTGGTCTGAGGGCACACACATACCTGACAAACGTGTACTGCTCGCTGTACATCCAGGGTTGAAGTTCCAGGCTGGGGTACTTGCCAAAGGGTGGCACGATCAAGCTGAACACCAAGGCGATGCAGACAAACACAGCTGGCAGCACAATCTGTAACCCGTGGGGAGAAAGGAAGAGATGGCAGGAGAAAGGTGAATGTTAAAAAGAAGGCAAAAGGGTATGACCCTACAGAGTCCAGCTAGCTTCCCAGACCTGCCAGCACAGGACTGAGGAGTCAGGGCCCACAGCCAAGCTCCCCCAAGGCATTCTTGGTAGCTGGGAGGTAATGGAGCCTAAAGAACTGAGCCTCTTCCCTCCAGGGCACTTCTGGAAGCTGTGCAAGCACAAGACTAGAGGCCACAGCCACCTGGCAGAGGCGCTAAGCTGAGACCTTTACAGAGTAAACAGTGATCACATGTCAGAACGTTGGGTCCTGCCTTCTTCCCCCTGAAGACCTCAGAAAGAGAGCGCTGGGCCCTAACTCCTTAGGTGGGGGCAGGGAGAGAACAAGCCCTAGATCAGGAGCCAGAGACCTGAGTCCTAGTTCTGTCTCTACTACAAGTGTGCCCATGTGGAGTCACTTCCCCTCTGGCCTCGGTTTTTTCATTTGTAATCTGTGGACTGAGACTAGATGACCCACTCAGTTCTCACACTCTCATAGTACCAACTCTACAGCAATGGCACCCAGGAAAGAAAACAGCTGTCACTCTCCTATGACTGCCTCAAAAAGCATAATTATCCTTGAACTTCCTCAAGCTCTCCATCCATACCTTCTCTGAGAAGAATAATGTGTACATACTTCCTGGGTAAATGTATCCCTACAAAGCCTGAAGATTCAAATGATGCCCCTGGTTCTAGTATTCTAGAGTTTTAGTGCAAAAAATTACCATTTAGTGAATAACTCTATGGGAAGGTACTATAATGTGAATTACTTCATTTCATTCTCATTACAACCCTCAGTAGTCTTAATCATTATCACTAATCTACAAGCAAAGAAATAGAGGCTCAGAGAGACTAAGTAACTTGCCCAATGTCACACAGTTAGTAAGTAGCTGAACCAGAATTCAAATCATGGATTGTCTGCTCCAAACTATACTCTTCTCATTACCTGCACAGTCTGTAAGGAAGAATCTCCACAGACTCTTTGTCTATCCTTCTTGATTTTATAGAGTGAAATAATTTCTTCTGTCCTAACTAGGTGAATTCACATGCAAACTCTGACAAACAGGCAACAGTGTAAAAAGCCTTCTCTCTTTGCCAATTATATCCTGACCTCTGGCTATCATTTCTATCAATTTGCAGTGAAACATCAACTTAGAAAACAATTAAGTTTCCAACAAATTCATATGTCAAGTGCATCTGGAAATAACATCTTTTATGTTATGAAAGTTGAATTTGCCCAGCTAGTTTTTCTAAACTTTGTCCTTGTTAGGTCTCTTCTATAATTAAAACTAACACCAAAAAAAAATTTTTTTAATCCTCATAACAACCCTATATCACAGATACTATTATTACCCCCATTTTACAGATGAGGAGATTGAGGCACAGAGAAATAACCTGCCAACAGATACACAACTGGCAAGAAGCAGAACTGGGATAGAAATACAGATAATCTGGCCCCAATGCCTTTGCTGGTCAGACAGCCTGCAGCTCACCACGAAGCCCAAGTTTCTGGCCTTAACCAGCACTTCTCACCTGAGCAAAGAATCCCTTCCGACTCCTCCTGGCAATCAGCAGCCTCTTCCACAAAAGGGCCACAAACTGTTGCTGTGTGAGTTTCCAGCCCTTTACTTGGTAGGAGCCTTTGCCGTCCATTCCGCTGAGCAGGTCTGTCTCTCTGGACTCTGCAAGAAGCCAACACTGAAGGTCACTTACCATCTTAGGCATTTTCGACATTGCCATGCCCCACCCTCCAACATCTTCAGCAACCATCTTGGGGGCTTGCATTAGAAGCTAAATGTGTCTTAGAAGTCAAGGGTTTTGACCCAAAATATACAATAACAGCCGCCTCTGCCTTTCAGTTCTTGGCTGATGAGAGCAGAAAACCAAGGGGCCTTGAGACAACTGAAGAGATGTGTCCACACATAATTGGGTATCATCTCAAGTCATTGAGATGAATCAAATCGGCCTCAATTTCTTACAAAATATTTTATGAAACAGGCCATGCATGTGCGCTGACATACTTGAAAACATACAATGGCAATTTGTCTCCCATCTACTGTGTTTTTAGTAAAAAAGGTGGACATGTTGCAAATGATATCTAAGCATTGACAATGTATGAAGCCAAGGAGAACATGAAAGATGCACACTCATATGACAACTGATTGGGAGGGCAAGAAAGGTTTTACTTCCTAAAAATTTTACAGAAGTCCTTGTCTTCAACTAATGACTCTTAAACTAATGACTGAGGCAGTTTGGCATCTCACCGATATTTGTTTGATTTCTTGCCTTCCCTCTCCATTCCAGTCAAACACACAGGGACACACACATCCCAAATGTTTAAGTCCAAAGGTATAATTAACCATAAAAACAAATTCATCCCTCTGAGTCTTTCAAAATCATTCATCCATTCAACAAATACTTATTCAACAATTAAACCTCTAATGTACGTAAGAAACTGGGACCCTCCAGAAACGATAATAAATGGGTTCAGAGGGGTGAGGGACCATCTTTTTATATGGATCTTGAGAGAAAGATCTCAGCTCAGCGAAGGGAGTGATGAGGATGGACTCTTTCAGGTGCGACCATATGTACAACTCTGGAAAAAGGAAAGGAGCTTTCTCATTTTCTTATTTCCCTTTGTACCCTGTAGGGACCTATCATCCTGGCTAAAGGCCACCAAAACAAAGAAGAACCAAGAGAAATTCACTTTCAAATAATGGCATGAAGATCTTGCCTGAACGGACCTGGGTCTATGTCAGAATCATTGGGATCCACAGCATCATCTGCTGTGAATGGACGAAGACAGCTCTGCCTGTCACCAAAGGCCCGTCTTTTCCGTCTTGCTGGCAAGGTGCCATCTGAAGGACAGGGGAAGGAATTCCACATTTTATTTGTAACAAAACAAACCCTCCCCATATGATGCAAACCCATACACAAAAAATGAGAATGGAACAGAACCATTCAATGGGACACACGTAACTCTGGTGATCTCAGGCAGCCTGCACGGGGCGCTTCCCAGAGACTGTGCAGCTGCTCCTAGAGGGTTACCTGAGGTCTCAGCATCAACTCCACTATCTTCAGCCACTTTGAGGAATATCTGAAAAATAAGAGCAGGCGACAACATTATAAGCACCAACACTATCTGAGTAGCCTGTTAGCCCCTTAAGACAAAGAAAGTAGAAGCCACATTTATTCATAGCACTTTGACAGAATCACTTGGGAGAGAAAGAGAGAAGCCATTTTTGCCAGAGACTATTTCTTCCTCAGTGTTGAGAGCTATCAATCCAGACAATCATTTTCAAATTAAAGCTATGACATGAGGACACAGCAGCAGAAGAAATTTGCTCTGAACCTACAGGAAATGTGTCAAGTGGCTTCTTCCAGGTCTGTGGCCCCAAATCTGTGAGTAGTTTAACACTGTGATAAGTTATTCAAGGTGGAATGATCAGGAGTCAATGAGTTCCCCATCACTGGAAATGTTCAAAAGCGAATGTTACAGCAGGGATTCAAACATCGAGGAGAATCTGAACTAGACCAGTGTTTTCTACCTCTAGTCTACAGACAGAGCCCTGGTGGCAAACTGGTTAAAGGGTCTGGCTGCTAACTGAAAGGTCAGTGGTTACAACTTACCAGCTGTTCCATTGGAGTAAGATGTGACAGTCTACTTCTGTAAAGATTTACAGCCTTGGAAACCCTATGGAGCAGTTCCTCTCTGTCCTATAGGGTCACTATGAGTCAGAATCGACTCGACAGCATTAAGTCTGGGCTTTTGAGGTTTAGTCTACAGACCACTGCCAGGCTAGATGCATAAAAGTCACCTAGGAAGTATGCAATAGAAACACAGACTCCAACGCCCTATCGTCAGAAATTCTGATTCAAAGGCCCTGGAGTTGAGCTTTAAAATTTTTATCATCTATACAATCTCCCAGATGATTCTGCTGCACAGTCAAGCTTGAGAACCACTGGGCCAGACAACTTTTCTATCCCTTCCAGCCCAAGGGCCTGTGACATTTTGTCTCTAAAGGGAGGCATGGCTGGACAATGAAGAGGGCTTTGAAGCCCAAAAAACCTGATTCTGAATCTCAGCATCTCTGAGTGTCAATTTTCTCATCTTGCTATGAGGATTAAATAAGGTTACAATGATTATTTAAACCCTTTCATGCCCGGTGGTATATATAGCAACTGTGAACTCTTTCAGCCTCTGGTATTTATTGGGAGGGTGCTGTACCACTGACAGGGAGCCTTTATAACTGTTTTGAAACTGAAGAGACAGGCATGTGCCGCAAATTACTGTTTTTACAGGGTATTGTATGAGGTATCTGAATTTTTGGTAGAAAAAATAGAAATCTTGAATATATATATATACCAATAGACCCTGGTGGGGACTCTGGGATATAATTAGTCATACTTCATGTGTACCACCAAACACTTACAGTAGACCTGTAGGAGGGGGCAACAACAAAAAAATCCACACTACCTACCAAAAATTCAGACGCACTCAATGATTCAGCATGCTTCCATTAATGAAAATATGTGGTATCAACAAAAAATTCAAAGCAGAAAATAACTGGGTCACCATATGGTTAAAAAATAGCAATAACAAAATCTTCCAAGCTTCAGCACCTTGCACAAACATTTCCATACATTTTGGTAATTTTCCATGCCCAGGAGCCCAGCTGACACCTGGCCATGACACAACTACACCAGGGAACAATCTTAATACTTCTTTCTTGCTATCTCCTACTACACCCTTAAAGAGTAAGTGGGTCCAACATTACCCAGATGTCAATGACCTGAGGATGCAATGACCAGCTCCACGGAGATCCTATTCCCAGCAGGAATGTAGGCTGTATGCCTACCTTGGGATTATTGGCACTGCTATATTCTGACATTCAGCCACTTAACTTACTTCTTCCAGGGTGGTCTCTGAGATGCCATAACTGGAGATGCCCAGATCTGAGAGCCTGTCATCAATCTCATGGAAGAGTTCCACAAAAGCTCCCTCCTTGGCAGCTTCATAGGGCAGCACGTAGGTCAGCTCATGCCCAATGTCTTCCACCAGCCGTGCCTCAGCCACATGCTTCCTGATGAGGTTGGAGATAGCGGAGACATCTGCAGGGATAAGAGCACAAAGACAGTTCAGCCAGCTCAGAACCACAAAGCGAGGGCCAGCCAGTCCCTGCCTTCTCCCTTTGCCTACTCCCCAGAAGCCTGCTACTCATACACTACACCTCCTCATATACTTAAGACTTTCTGCATGTTCATCTTTGGCCTGAGAGTTCCTGGGGGGAAGAACTATGCCTTCTTTACCCTTGTATCACCAAAGCCAGACACACTGTAGGTACTTGATGCATAGGAAAAGAATGAATGAATGACTTCCTAAGGTTGAAAGTTTGGTGTCTAGAGCCAAAACCCTAGGCATCTTCAATGGAAAATGTGAGCAAAGGAACATTAAAAGAGTATTCACTTTTCCCTAAACTTTTAAAGGAAGCCCCCTCTACCTCAAAAGAGAGTTGAACAGTTTACGGAAGCAGAAGTCTTCTTGGGAAAAGCCAGCTGTTAGGACTGGACAAACAGGGCCAGGGTCAAGGGTTTGTGTTTCATACATGCTATTGGTGACAGCTGCCTCTATACATATCTCCTCAGGAAAACCTGAAGACTGTTCCTGATCTCTTGGGCCTTCCCCATCCTTAGGTACTGCACTCAAATCCCTCTCCCACTGGCTTGGCCCTCAGCCCCTTAGCATCTCCAACGTCGAGAGAGACCCACTTCCCTCAGAGCTCCTCCAAAGCTCCCCTGCATATCTCAGCTACCTGGGACACTGCCCTTCCAGCTCCCAGACCAAGACCCAGACTCCCCAACAAGCATTAGGCCAACCCCACCACCAAGCTGCACCCACTCCCACAGCCACCCAGCCCCAGCCCGGCAGCAAACCTTGAGTCAGCACCACCAGCCTCTGTACCTCTCCTCCTCTGCCTCCACTCTGCCCAGCTGGGTGTAGCTCAGGTACCACCTGAATAAGAAACCCCAGAGTCCTTACCGATAGTCAGCGTGTCACTTTCATGGTCGCTGCCCAGGCCAGCGTCAGAACTGCTCTGAGAAACACTGTCCTCCTGATGGCAAAGAAGGAGGTGAGAATGGATAAGGGACCGAGCAAAGGTACAGCCACCACCACCTTCGCTGGGAGGGCTTCCAAGGGGCTCTGTCTTGTAAGAAACAGAGCAAAAATCTTCTCCTGCCAGGCATGCAACTGGGCAGCATGGCTTCAGAGGCTACTGTTTAACATGGGTCTGCTTTGTGGACAGACTAACCTCCTGGGACTGGGAAGCAGAGCCATTCGTCGACTGTCTCAGGCATAGGATTAACCTAGCCAGCTGGCTAGTTTAGTGCTTCTCAAGCTTAATATGTATTCATTCAGTCGCCTGGAGACCTTGTTAAATTGCAGTCAGTTTGAGTTGGGGCCCAAGTTTCTGCATTTGTAACAAGCTCTTGGTGATGCCAACGCTCTTGTCCTCAGACCACTCTTTGAGTAACGAAGTGCTAGTTAAAAGGTAAATAAGTAGACAGGAGTTCAAGGTTGGGATGTAGATGACTTTAGGATATCAATGAAAGAGGACTCTGATATCATAGACAGAAAGTGGTGCCATTGGTCTAACACACAAATAGATCCCAGGCATGTTCTGTGGTGCAGAGGAAAGCATACCCGGCTATTGGGTTCTGGCCCTACCTCTGTTATTTACCTGCTGCAAGACCTTGAATAAGCTACCAAATCCCTCTGAGCTTCACTTCCCTCATCTGGGATAAGGATTATGACACCTCCTTCCCAGGACTGCGCTATGCTTTAACTGAGATGGTAGATGTAAAAAAACACTTTGTAAATGGTAACAATGCTACAAAAAATTAACTATTATCACTATTTTCTTTTATGCCCACAGTCTATTAGAGTGAATGTCTGGCTTAATAAATGTTTGCTGTTTTGTAGTTTAAAAGTTAAGGTCAGTGAGATTTAAGGGTGTCATGAGCAGGAATGGCTGGGCCTTCTTCAGTCATGGCTCTTAAGTCTTGGCAAGTTTTTTTTCTTTGACTTTGACATAATTAAGTCCTCTAAGGACCTTCTCCATCACTCATCACGCTTCCGTGGTGGGGGGAGTGGAATGGGACTCAACAGAGATAGCAAATGGGAATGGAAGTCTCCTGAGCTTTCCACGTATGAGGTCTGATGTGATTCTTAAGAGAACACAGAGCAGGAAGATGGCTGGCCTCAACGTGGCAGGATGGGGTAGAGGTGTACAAGCTATTACAGCCAATGAGTTCTCACTCCCTTGGCCCAGCACCAGCCCAGTAATGCTCTGCAACTCACCTTTTTCAGGTATGACACAGTGCTACTGCTATTTCTGCAGGAACTGAGGGAGGAGTCCACATCTTTCTTGACCAGAGTGAGGTAGTAGCCTGTTCCCAGTTGGTTCTTCAAGAACAGGGAGGAGCCCACACAGCACAGCTTCCCATGGGAAATGATGGCAATTCTGTCCCCCAGAATGTCCGCTTCATCCATGTGGTGTGTGGAGAGAATAATGGTGCGGCCTGCCAGGCAAATACAAGGACGTTCTCACTGATAGTAGTGGCAGCAACTACAGAAATACTAACAGGGGTGAGCATGAGAGAAAGACTTGGAAACTTCCCTCAACCCTGTGTGGCCATGATCCCTAGAATGGCAAAGCCTTGATTGTAGCTATGGCATCTTCATAGACATAAGAACAGCAGCATTTATTTGGGAACTTGCTATATGCCAGCCAGTGTGCTAAATGGTTTACATGCATTTCTCATTTAACTTAATCCTCTATGAGGTAAGAACTTTTTATAAGTCAAGAAACTGAGGCAAATAAAGTGACTTTCCCAAAGTCTCAGGAACAGCCAGAGCTGGTTGCAAAGCCTGTGCTCCTCATACTACGCATACCCCAATATATCTCTAAGTAGATCATCAATTGTGTTTCTCTACCTCTCCCATCTGTTCATTTATTCATCCACTCTTGAAAAACATGAATTAAGTACACTGTATTGGGGATAAAGAGATGAACAAAGACACAGCCTCTGCTCTCAGGAATCTCAGGCTATAGAAGAACATGATTACAACACACATGTGTAGGCTCTATGCGAGAGGTAGGCACTGGGGGCCATGGAAGCCCAAAGGGCTGCCCTTTATCCTTGTTTCTGTTTATCTTGCAGGCCCCAAAGTAATAAGCATAAATTTCAGTGCCTTGTAAATCAGGCCTTCCACCTCCATACCACAGTAGGCGCTGAGCTTTAAGAAAAGAAGGCTTGCATCCTCCATGAGAAGGCATCTGTTGCCCTAGCAAGAGCAGCCATGAGATGCAGCCATACTTCTCGAGAGCCCCTCCTCTCCCAGTTCGTGACACAGAGTAAATACACATCAGTTACCCTGTCGATATTTCAGCAGCAGCTCCCATATCCCCCTGCGGGAGTAAGGGTCCACGCCAGCTGTGGGCTCATCCAGAATGACAACCTTAGATCCCCCCACAAAGGCCAATGCCACAGACAGCTTTCTCTGCATTCCACCTACAAGAACAAGAGGGACACGCTCCAGGACCCAGCCCCAGACAGTGAGTGAGGGCGGAGGCAGTGAGAAACAAATGGAGGCACCCACTTGGGGTCACAGCCAGGTACCCACCCAACCATCACCCAGCCCAGGAAGGGGGGGCGGGGGGAGGTGACAGTGGTGGTACTGTAGGGAGGGGGTGGTTAGGGCAGCTCTGGGCCTCACCTGACAGCTGACTTGTTTTGCTTTTTAGCTTGCTGGGTGGCAGGACAACATCCAGAGCCATCTGCTCCATCTCGGCTTTCACGTGCTTCTCAGAGAGCCCTTTCAGGCGGGCATAGAACCAGATGTGCTCTTCGACAGTCAGCCTGGGGGACAGAGGAGCAATCCACTCAGGGCCAATGTCCTCCACAGGATGCACCACAATACAGTGCCTTCTTGCCCAGAACGGGAGAGAGCAGGCACTTTTTTTTTCGGTTTATCAACTTCTTAAAAATTAATCTTCAGGAAGGATTCATGGTGGAACAGCAGTCAGCAACCACATGAAGTCAGGAAGCCAATACTGAAATGTGACAGGTCACTTCCAACCTAATCCAAGCGAGTCCTGGCCACCGTGCATCAGGCAGCTGCAGCTTTAAATTTTAGGCCCCCAAGAGGTGGTACTCAAAGGGCTCTCCCTGATGCCCCATCAGCCAAAAAGCTGGCTCATCAGGAACCTGGAGTAACCCTATAGAAGCTTCAAGGACCTAAGCCTCAGAGAAGGGAGGCCGCGCAAGCACACCAGCCCAAACCACTCACTTTAGATAAGAGGAAACTGGGGCCCAGGAGAGGGAAGGCTTTGCCCAAGGTCATAGAGCTCAGGCCTTTCCCTGCTCCACTCTGAGGGCTCCCTGGGGGCCCTATTTGCTGAAGGAGCCACCCGAGCAGGAGCAAAGGCCTTGAGCAGGGAAATGCGGCCATCGTTTGGAGGGCCCTGAAGTACTGCCAAGTCTGGATGTTAGAGCTACACAAGGCATCAGGGAGGGTGCAGTGGGGAGAGGATGGGTAAAAGGACCCCAAACTAAAAACCACTGTGCCACCGGGGATCCTTTTGAGAAGGCCCCAGGACAACAATAATGGAGATTGCCATTTTCCCCAACCCCATCCACCAACTGGACTGATGCAACATCTCCCACCAACAATTCACCTCCCACTGTTGCTGAAGTCGAAGGGTAGCCAGGTCTCAAAGTGCCCAGGGAGGCGAAGCTTACCACCCCCAGGCAAGGTCCCTTGCTGCCCAGGACTCCACAACACACACATCCAGAGAGGGTCTGCTCCTCTCAGCATGGTGCTGGTACTCACATGTCAAACAGCACATTATGCTGGGGACAGACCCCCAGGTTCTGCCGGATTGTGCTCATCTCTGAGCGAATGTCCTTCCCCAGGATATAGGCGGTGCCCGAGGTGGGTGGGAACAACCCAGTCAGGATGGACCTGAGGACAAAATAAAAAATCAGAGGCGTCAGGGCAGTGCTACCCTTCCCTCTGGATGCTCCGTTCCAGGCTGCAGAGCTAGGGCAGACGGGGCAGAGGGTGCCAACCCTGTCACCCTCTGTTCCTTCTTAATGGACCGTAGCGGACTCTAGCGGTGAATAGGATTAGGCCTATGTGTTGGAAATGGCAATTTTAGTGCAAGAATTTTTAAAATGAAGATTCTAATTTGCAAAGCAAAGTGCATTTTAAAACATGTTTTGTGTGCCTAAAATCATCCAGGAAAGTCAACAACAGAAACAAATTATTCAAAGATAAAAATAATTCTTGTGTTAGGTGGTAGGATTTTTGAGTGTCCTTTTAATTTTTTCTGCAATGTTCCGACTATCTTGATTTCACATTTAAAGTAAAAAAAAGAAAAACAAGACATGAATGTCGCCCCCAAACGTACCCTCTGGAATGGCTGAGGAACCACACTGAAAGCCACTGAGGTGAACTCAGGTGTTGTATGGCTCTCGCTACCTCTGAAGCTGCCCATTATAAGGTCCTGTAAGTCCCACTGAGGGCAATTTTAGCAAGCTGCCAGCTGTTTCTCACATCTGCTTAGAGAAAGAGTTCCTGGAAATCACCACCTCCCTCCAACATATCTACTCTTTTTTGCCAGACTCTTGCTTCACAGTTTTGACCACACCTGCTCAAAAGGAGACCCTATCTCACAGCTGTCATTGTCTCAGATTCCAAGAACACAGCAGAATTCTGAGAACTAAACGGGAAAGTTCATCAAAAGGCCCACAGCCTGTTTCGGGCTGAAGAAGTAATATCTAGTAAAAACAAATGCTTGGAAAGCACGCTCATGATTAGATAATCTTTTTACACGCATCATCATTGCCTGTGTGTTCCGCCTTTGTTCCCAACGACCAACACAATTTCTTTTGGTGTGAATTTCTAACTATACCACAGATCCTTCCCATGGCAGATTCTGTGAGGGCCACACAGTCTTCTTACATAGTGGTGGTCTTTCCCGCTCCATTGTGGCCCAAGAAGGAGGTGATCTGGCCTTCATAAAAATTCAGTCTCAGGCCATCGACTGCCACCTTCATGCCATCTCGGTAAACCTTCACCAGGTTCTGAATGGACACACCCAGCTTCAGGTGAGTGGGCTCCTCCTCCATGCAGACTGTGAGAAGAGAGAAGAAAGAAATGAACCCACAGAAAATACTGACGTGTAGACTGTAAAGACACAAAGGACTGTTTGTACTCAACCTGCCTGCACTCTGTGGCCACTTTTCGTCTCACAGGTAGGCAGGCAGGGTACAAGCATTTATTCTTTTAATATCTGGGAAATAGTGCTGGTGACAGGGACACAATAATAAAGAAGACACAACCTCTACCCTTAGAGCACTCAGAGTCTACTGGGTGACAAACACTTGACAAGCAATTAAAATGTAGGATGCTAAAAGCTGTTTTCAAAAAACACATCAAAAAATTCCATAGAACTGTAGTACTTCTAAACCATGGAATACTACACAGAAACAAAGGGGAACAGCTATCGATGCACACAACAACTGGGCTGGATCTCAAAGGAATGATGTTGAGCGAAAAAAGCCAATCTCAAAAGGTTACATACTATATATATAGTTCCATTTGTGTAACATTCTTGAACTAACAAAATTATAGAGATGAAGAACAGATGAATGGTTTCGCTTCTTTACTGTGGTGGTTGTTACACGAATTTACACATATGATAAAATTCCACAGAACCAAATACGCACACACGACTGAGTGCGTGTTAAAACTAGTGAAATCTGAAGAAAATATGTGAACTGTACCAATGTCGATTTCATGGGCTTGATATTACACTATAGTCACAAAAGATGTTACCATTGGGGGAAACTGCATAAAGGGTGTAAGAGACTGCCCCCCATATAAGTTTTTGTAACTTCCTGTGAATATATAATTATTTCAAAATAAAAAGTTTAAAAAATGCCATGGAATCTTCGAGAAAGGAGTAACTACCTGAGAATCTAGGAGGGCTGTTCAAGCAAGGGGATATCTGAAGTAGATGTTAAAGAACAAGTAGGAGTTTGGAAGGTAAGTAAGTTGGACAAGGGGTTTTCCTGTAAGAGGAAACAGTACATACATGCAAAGGCACAGGTGTAGAAGAACATGACATGTCCTGACAATCTTGAGCAATTCTAGGTGATTGGACAGAAGCTAGGTGGCAAGAGGAGGTAGGGTAAGAAGAATAAGGAACAGCAGGAGAAGCAAATGGAATGGTGGGCAAGGGCAGGTTGTAAAGAGCCTTGAATGCCTAGGAGACACTATACTTATCAAACCAGCAGCTAGGGAATGGGCATAGAAGAGGTCAGCAGAAGAACAGACTTATTAATTACTTAGGAAGCCACACTGAGCACAAAGATAAAGTTTCCTTCCAAGAACCTGAGCAAGCAACCACAAAGCGGAGCCTCTGCTGAACTGTGGCATCTCTACCTGCAATCAGGAGCCAGGAGAGGACTGGGACTCTGGGTAATGAAGGGTGATAACAAGAAACATAGGCTGAGCTCTGTGGCAGCCACCTGATGCCAGCCTACAGACTTACATATATATATATATATATATATATAAAACCATAAAAATGGGAGACAGCGAGGTTATGGTTCCACAGTCACTGCTGTTTTTATCTCTTCCCTGTAGCTAGTCATGATAGCATGAAAAGTGTGTGGGAGCGTGGAGGTAGGGGTGACGATATAGTCATCAAAAGCCACCCTCCCAGAAGCCAAGAAAACAAAGGAAATGTCTCTCAGAGACCCAGACAGTGATTCTCTGATAAGTCAACAACATTAAACACAAATGGCATGGGAAAGCTTGGGAACTGGCGTCGCGCGTGGTTTCTCTGCCCCTAGACTGGTTTTAGACAGTGAGTGGGGGGTGGCAGCACTAGGGTTAAGGGTGGGTAGACCAGCAGCACTTACTTTCTGATATTCCCTTCTGGCTGGAACAGGGATGGCTCTTCTCATCACTTTCCTCACCGAACCAATAGGACTTAGTACAAGGAAAATACCAGGGCCTAGGAATTCCATACTGACCTAAAAGTAAAACAAAGATGTGAGCCAAGCTCTGCACCATCCCAGAATTCCCGAGGTATCCCAGCCAGACCCACTCTTTCCTTGACATACCCTGAGCCCTTCAGAGAAGGAAAAGACTGGCAGGGGAGGTTTGGAGAGAAGGAGCTAACATTTGCTGAGACCAACTATGTACCAGGTACATTCTACACCTCACTTAATCCTCCCAACAAGCCCATGAGGCAGGTGTTGTGCTCATTTTAGAGATGAAGAGACTAAAAGATAAGCAACCTGCCAAGGTCACTCAGCCAGTAACTGAAGGATTTGAATCTAGGTCAGCATGGTGCAAAATGCCATATTCAATGCAGGAAGTTCAGGTAGGGGTAATAAATATTTCACATATACTTCCTTAGAGGAAAATCAGAAGGTGAACCACATAGTTAAATCCTACTCTTCCAAGCCTGGATCTTATATATGTGAGTATTTATCCACGGCAGAGTCATCTCGGACCTGGTTATAACAGTACCTACCTAGAATATTCTTAGGATTAAATTTACTAAAGTATATAAAACACTTTGCACAGTGCCTGGGATACTGTACTCAAGAAATGATCGCTGTATTAGTAATAGTAGTTGTGCCACCTATGTCCCTTCAGCATCAGCTGTCTCCCCTCCTTGGTCTATTTGTTTGCCGTGCGTATAAAGCCCTGACCACTTCCCAGGGAACCCCAGACCCTACAGAAATTCCAGCATAAAGGGAGGAAAGCACTGGAGCTAGAAATCATATTTCCCTCACAGATGGCCAAGGCAGTGTGGAAGCTCACAGTACCTGGAAAGACAGCCTCAATGTACCATGTCATCACCCCATAGATGAAAGTGTCAAACAGCATCATGGAGACTGAGGTAGTAAAGTTGAAGCCATCTCCCTCCACAGGGCTCTCAAACAGGTTGTCCCACTGCACGCCAGTGCCCTGCTCCTCGAAAAGGGCGAAGTACTCACAGCCAAACCCAAAAGCCACAGGAGACAGCAGGCTCTGTGAGAAAGAGACAAAAGTCACTTATCCATCTTCTTATCCCTCTCATTTTCTTATCACTTCTAATGCAAAGTCCACTTAGAGAAATTTGAGTTTATAAAAGGGATCAATTACAGGATGTGGAAGTATTCACCTACAAAGTTCCTTTAGGGGACTGGGCTCCCTTGCAGCATATAAAATAATTCTATTTATAACCAATCATTATGCACACACATTTCAGAAATACATCTATGATGGAGTGTAATACTTTTAGAATTTGATGCTTCCAAAGATGCCCCAAAGATGCCCCAAAGGCTCAGAAATCCTTCCCCCTACACACACACACACACACACACACACACCACACACACGCGCACGCGCACACGCACACGCACACGCACACACACACACACACACACCAAGGTCCTCTCAGGTTCCCTGCTCAGCTTGAGACAGTTCAGGGTCAGACGAGCCGGTCTGGGGTTGCTGGTGTCAAAGGGGCCCAGACTGAGGCATCTGGAGCTCCTAGCATTGAGTGACTCTCAGCTTTCCTTCCAAGTGACCCAGTGACAGCTAGAAACTCACCCTTATGAGGACTTGCATACCCTCAAGGGCCTCTCCTTCTCTGTACAAGGGAAGGAAGTGTTCAAGTCAGGGACCTGTGGGGATCTGGGGCACCTGCTCCTCAGTCTTGTTCAGTTCAGAAAATAACAGTCAAATGAAACACCATACTGGTCACAAGGAAGGCAGGGAGCCATCCCTGATGTCAAGAGTTTTCAGTTCTATCTGTGGCCGTGACTTCGTGGCATGCTTAACATGGTCAACAGAGCTGGGAGATAAAGGGTGGAAATGACGTCTATAACCTAAAGTAGTTCTTTTGCAGTTCCCCAATGCCATTTATCCACAGCCAGGTTCATCGTGCATTGTGGCTCTTTGAAAAATTCCCTTCAATTCAAGCAGTATCCACTGAGAGGACCAGAGATAAACCATTTAATAAGAGTCCACCCTTGCCTTAAAGGTGCTTAGAATTCAGAACTGAAGTTCAAGTCCCATTGGAAAGAGACTCTCTCCTCTTCTGTTCTCAACTTTGCTGCTTCTATTCATGGACTACAGAGGGAGATCAAATACCTGAGGTGCTACTACATGGGCCAGAGTTACTCACTGCAAAGATCTTGGGGGTGAAGCCCACATAGTCCTGCCACGCCACACACAGGACGTACGGCAGGTACAGCATGAAGTAGATGATGCCCCCACAGGCTGCTGCCAGGTTGGCTCTGGAGAAGAACGTGCTGATCAGGAAGCACTGCAGGATGGTCACCACAGCGAACACAGAAAGGAAGACAAACACCACGCTGGGGTCACTATAGGGCAGCAGGTTTCCTAACTGGGAAGGAAGAAACCCATTAAACGGGCTGCCCCGACAAGCCCAAGCACACCCTTTCACGATCAGTGGGGAAAAAATCAGGACTTTTTCACACTCATCTTAAAGATAATGTGGAGGAGCAATGCTGTTTATGAGGAAACTGAGGCCCAGAGAAAGGAAAAGACTTGCCCAAGACCACACAGCAAAATAATGGTGGAGTGAGGAACAGAACAGAGTCTATGGTTTTCTATTCCGTACCAATAGACAATTTTGTTCTTTGTTTCTCCAACAAATAATATTACCTAGTTTCTCCTTTTATAAGGACTGTGACTCTTGCTACCAAGAGAGAGTTGTGGGAGATGGTGTCCCATGTGACTTCTCCCTCCAAAAGCCAAGGACAATGGCCAAGCAATCTTAATATCCCCCTTGGTAAACTGCTATGGATTCTGCATTACTCTTGCAGACAAAGCTACCTTTTGAGTTTATATCTAGTAAACCCGCTGTCATTGAGTCAATTCCGACTCATAGCAACCCTACAGGACAGAGTAGAACTGCCCCACAGGGTTTCCAAAGAGCAGCGGTAGATTCAAACTGCCAACCTTTTTGGTTAGCAGCTGAGCTCTTAACCACTGCCCCCACGAGGGCCCCTTATCTCTAGTAGTAGGGTGTATTTCAGCAGGGCCTGCCAGGATATAGTTTTCCCAAGGCAGCTCTCTCATACACCAGCCACAGGACTACCCCACCAAAAAGCCTGGTCCCTTACAGTTAGATATCACAGCATGAAGGGGATTTGATTTTAACAAGACCTGCATTCAAATCTTGGCTCTGCCACTTGTTATCTGTGTGACTTCAGTAAATCCTTAACCTTCCTTAGCCTCATGACCTTGTATGTGAGGTGCTTTGAACAGTACTTGGCAATTAGTAAGTGCTCACTCATAACAAACATAGCTAGTATTAAATCAAATGTTAGTTTCTATCCCTTTGCACTTACTACTCTTCAAAAACACTTATTTTTATATGATGCATCCTTAAATGAAATGATTGTGGAGAAATAAAATTGGTACATAAGGATATTAAAATATGAAGTAGAAACAGAAATGCACTGCCCAGATTCCCCTTCAAGTAAGGACTTGTTGCCCAGGCATAAGCATCTCTGGCTCTGTCACAGCTACAGAGAGCCACGTGGCCCTGGGGCATACCCTACCCAGGGCAGCCCACATCCAGTGATTGAGTAAGGAGGCTGGGTAGGGCATGACTTGGAGGGGAGCGCGGTGGAGGAAGCATAAAGGCCCAGCCATTTCAGCTCAATGAAGGACAACTCTAACAAGACACATAGACTCCAGAGTGCCCCAGTTGGTTGGCCCTGCATTGCAGTTCAACCTCTCCCTCTGCCCAAACCTGCTTTCTCTTCCTTCCACAGGTGTTGATTCCTAATAACTACTCATACACCAAATTCAGTCTCAGCCTCTGCTTCCAGAGAACATAACTTACAAAATATATATTCTCTGGTTATAGCTGTTATACTTGCCAGGAAGGATCGTCACCCAATGCATGTCAGGAAATGAATAGTTCTCAGATGTCACCAAGAACCACTGCCAAGCAGACAGCATGGTGGAAAGAGTACACTTACATGGAAAGCAAGAATACTGGGTTCTAGTCCTGCTTAGCTGTTAACCAGCTGGCCTAACCCTGGGCAAGTCACTGCCCCTTTCTGGGCCTCACTTTCCCCAGCTATAAAATGAGGGAATTACAGTAGATAACACATATGGCCCCATCCTTCTCAAAGAGTCTTATCTTCTCCTCACTCAGCCCATGCTGGGCCATTGAGGAGCTCCCTGGCAGGGAGGAGGGAGTGAGGCAGCCTTACCTTCAGGATGACGACCAGCAGGCTGGCGCTCACAAGCAGAGGGATGAGGCTGCTGATGAACCAGCTAAACCAGAGGATGCCGCTGTCCAGGCCCATGATGCGCATGGTCTCCTTCAGTCGCGCCTCCTTCTCGTACACGATGCCCTTGATGATTACAGCCACTGAGTAGATCCAGGCTAGCGTCATGAAGAGGGGCATGGACCGGCTCATTACCCGCAGGAAGCTGGAGATCCCAGGAAAGGGTGGGGAGGGAATTAAAGACAAACATAAGCCAAGCTCATGGACCAATGCCTCAGAGCCTGTATGCAAGAGAAAACACCATATGAGAGTTGCATAACATGATGAATGTAATCAATGTCACTGAATTGTACATGCAAAAAATGTTGGATTGGCAAATGTTGTGTTATATATATTTTTGACACAATAAATCAATTTTAAAAATTAAAATTAAAAACAAAGAAAAGCAAACATCACATTTGCACCATAGAAGGACAGGCCCTCTGATCTCTGAAATGTGTAAGTTACAGAATGCTTCATGAGATGCACTGCAACATAATCATAAAAACTAGACTAACTGCCAAGTAAAATTTCTTTGGGGGCTTGCATTAGTAACTAGGTAACTATGAGATGTCATGAAGCTAAATCTGGGTTCTTCTAAAGTACTGAAAAAAGAAAAAACTCATTCTCTCATGGAAGTTCAACATCTCCAAGGTCATCTCACTATCGACTTGCTTAGCATAACTCTTATCACAGCTAGTGCAGAAACACACTTCGGGCAGCTCTCATCAGTAATATTTCAGATTCCAAACTAGAACAGGAACTGCAGTGCTGTGAAGTAAAAGGGACATAGGATTTGGATCTTGAGACTCGAGGTTCGTGTCCTAGCTTAATCACTTATGGGCTACGTGACAATACACTAAGGCTCTTAATGCCTCTTAACTCCCATCTTTAGATAAGCTTTTTAGAGTAACCCTTGGCTTAGGGGCCTTTGGAAAAGCCCTCCTTTAAAAAATTCTGGTTAATCTTTCTGAAGGTGAAAAATAGGATAATTTCTGGCTATCTGGAAAGGCTAGATTTGGTCATGCAAGGAAGTAGGTTGTTGAATGCAAAGCAGAGAGCAAATGCAAGGAGAGAAGTCCTGCCGCTCCTAAACTCTCATCTCTATCCACACACATGGCCGCAGAGAATAAGAATGTGTGAATATTTCAGATGCCTACAATAACTACACATCTACCCATTTTCTCTTATAAGAAGTCATTAGATTCAAAGGCACAGTTCCCACAATGAGCACCTTGCAGTTCAGTGAATAAGCACTAAAACAGTATCTAAAACGTACAAGATAAAGATGCTCTGTTCCATTTCATTTGGATTGTTTCAAAATTTGGTTAATGACATGTAGAGAGAAGGCAGACAAAATGACAGTAAACCAGCTTTACAAGTCTAGACAGTTATTTCTGTGTCTGCATGTGTGCGTGTGTATAACACACTTGCTTGTATTTGTCATGGAACATTTTAAATTCGAAAATTGGGCAAATTTTCACAAAAAAAGTAGAGCGTAAAAAATAAAAGCAGTGGTAACCATGAAAGAAAAAGCAGGAAGGATTACTAGTGCATGCACATGTGTCTGTCTGTGATGTGGCTGAACTGTTGACTATCTACATCTGGCAATTCATTTGCTGAAATGTTCACAGAGCTTCAAAAACAATTCTCTGATGAGCATCACACACACCAAAAATGAAAAAAATCAAAGCATTCTTGTCTACTCCCTTGGCACTTTTTTTTTTCATTCCACCTGGGGACAGTGTTAACTGGTTAAAGATGGTGGCTTACGGGTAACTTACATGTCATCAACGTAACAGGGATAGGGCATCTGCTGTACGTAGACACCAGTTTTCTTCTCACTGCCCGTCAGCACCCTGATGATGGCCTGCTCTACCACGTCCTGCAAGTAGGTGAAGCCCCCCCAGACGTATCGCATATCCTCAAAGGGGTCAGCCCGAGGACCCGGGTCCCAGTACCTAAAACCATACCACAGGTGATTGATCAAACATTTCTTAGAACCATACAGTAAAAAAATAAAAAACAAATCACCCACAATCTCACCAGCCCTTACAGAACCACTGTTTTTACTTTTGTATCTTACCTTCCGGTCCTGCTTTACATGCACACGTTTTTAAACACATGTAATCAAAATGAGCATACTATTTGCTGGATGTTTTTTTCCCGTTTGCTGCCTAACAATGCATCAAATGGACATATCAAAAATGATTTAACCACTCCCTTTTTATTGGTTGTTTGCTCCTTTTTGTAAAAATGGATAAAGCTAGTGAAGAAAACCTGAAGTCTTTGTGTTTCCTTGTTGACTTAATTCCTTGGGATTAATTCCGTAAGTGGAAATGCTGAGTCAAAAGATACTGGTATTTTATGACCTCTGAAATAATAGCTTCCAGAAATATGTGTGCCAGTTTCACCATAACCACGCCACCAATCTGAGTTATTTTTTGTTAAATTTTCTACCAAATTATGAGTTAAAATAAACTACCTGTAGTCATCATAGCTACTCTTGACCTCCCCAAGACTGGGCTGGGAGCATGGGATCCAACTTACCCATCCTTGATTTTATTAGTCCTCTCCACATTGTCAATGTCCATTCGAATCTTGTACTTGACATGATGGGGAAGCTCAACACTGTCCGAAGTAATTCCAGTGAACACAATACCAGCCCAAAACTTCCTCTCATCCAGCAGTTCCATGGACTTGTTGATGAGCCGGACTTCTGTTGCTATTGGTTCCAGTTTGTTCAGGTTGACACACTGATGGACAAACAGCCTTCATGAGAACTCTGGGGGCCAGGAAAATAAGCAGCAGCCAAGACAGACACAACCCTAAGAGACAAGTGCTAATTGCACGATTTTTTTCTCCTCACTCTTTAATCCTCTCTAACATAGTCTTCCAATCTTCAACTGAGAATGGGTCATTTTGTTTTTTAACTGCAATTTAAGGAAAACGCTAGAAATATTTAGAGATAAGTTACTTGTATTGATTTTTTGTGGAGGGAAAGAGATTGAAACAATGATCATCATTTCTCATTTTCTTCTGTTAGCAATTCTGAGTCACAGCAACTAAGCAAACATGCAAATAAACAAAAAAAAATCTTGTAAATTTTTTGTTAATAGTGAGGGGAAAATAAAAACATTTCAGACTAAAACAAAAAAAAATTCTTGTATCTGTCCCTATTAACTGACATAACAATTTTTTAGAACTAAAGTTTAAAAATATAACCTGTCCTGCATTAGCTATTAGGTAAGCTTCATAAATAATGCCTTTGTAAGGGAATGCTTTGGAACCATTAGCCATCAGGGCATCAAAATATAAGAAGCACTTTTAGGTCATCCTGAAAATCCAGAAGACAATGGAAAGAAACACCCTTGAGTCAAGACAGAGTAATGCCAGAGTTAGGTTTTTCTCATTTACTCATTCAGTCATTTAACTAACATATATTGAGTGCCTTTTGTACACCAAGGCCTGTGTTAGGTTTGATCGGTACAACTGTAAATAAGACTACAAATCATTTCTAAACTTTCCTCCTGCCCGAACTTTATTGCAGTATCTTAGAAGGAGAATCCATGTATCTTGTCTAAACGATCCACAAAACAGATGCTCACCTCCATGAAGCGAGATATGGTCTGGATTGCCTGGTTGGTCTCGTTGAACGCCTCTCTCCAGGTGTACACAGAGCCATTAATGGCCTCAACATCCTCTGGGTGCTTGGCCAGAAACACCGCAATGTCTTGGGCTGTCCACCCTAAGCCATCTAACCGCTCTTCCCAAAAGTGGTCACTGCCTCTGCTGTCCAACAGTGTCTGTGGTTCCAGTGAGAAAGCACAAGTAGTCAACATCAGCTAACCACTTGATGAGGACTTTATAATTTATAAAACCCTTTCACACACATTGTCTCCTTAATTTTTACAGAAAACTGTGAGGTAGATAGCAGTCTCCCCATTTTACATGTGAGATGACTGAGATTGAAAACAGAATGTGATGTTTTACCAAGACTGAGTCAAAATGCTAACAGTTGTGGACCTGGGACTCAGAGAGCAGTCTGAATCCAGAGTCCATATGTTTTCCATTATACCAAACAATTCAGTTTAACATTATTAACAACAGCAACAAAACCAATAATATTTACTCAGTACGGTGATTGTGTTGAGTGATTTACATGCTTCATCTCACTTACTCCTCACACAATTCCATAAGGAAAATACTTTTAATATTTCCCATTTTACAGATGGGAAAACTGAGGTTCAGAGAAGTTAAGTCCCTAACATCAGGTCACATAGCGAATAAGTAGCAAAGCCAGGATTTGAAGCATAGACTCTCTGATTCTAGTGCGCTTCCCTAAACGCATTATATTGCCTTCTTCTTTTGAGACCCAGTCTGACAACGCTATCTCTGGATTGAATTACGACAAACCCACTTTTGCTGTCTAGTTTAGCAAAATAATGATGCTGTTACACCAAGTAAAATATAATCTTTCCCAATGTCAGGACACCTGGATCATGACATGAAGGAGGCCTGTCTCTCATTTCTTGTTCCCTAGCCATTTGGTTCAACAATGGGCCAATGAGGAAGTGAAGATACACCTATCTGGTGCTCAACTAGCAGATCCAGAAGGACTGGGGCAGAAAAACAAACAGGGCAACTTCAAACTCAACTCATGGAAAAGGTGAAGCATCAGCAAGTCCTGCCACAGCTTCTAGCAGGAAACGCACACCCTGACCCTACCCAACTAGAATCTCCAAAGGTCTGAAAACTGCTACTCTTTAAATCAGTTGTATTTTCACTAACATCATAAGCTTTTCTCTTCCCCCATGTGACTTTTTAATTTATTATCTTAATGGTAGCATAACAATCCTATAGAATATATACTATAATTTCATTAACTATTCCTTTACTGCTGAGCATTTATGCTATTTCCAATTTTTCATAATAACAATTATTATCGTAATGACATTTTTACTCATTTAATGACTTCTTTAAAATTACTTCTGTGGGATCCATCCCTGCAGGTATGTGGAAAAGAGGTACACAGGATAGCACATTTTTTATGGTTCTTGAAACTTCCATTCCAAATTGCTTTTCAATAGGGAGCAATAATTTATACTGTCATCAGTAAGATATATATGTATTTTTGTTAACATTAATAGATACAAAATTGTACCTTTCAAAGTGTTTCTCATAGGGGTACGGGTTAGCAACTTTGACACTACTTTGTATACTGCAATTGAACAAATCAGAGCAGAGTGAAGAGACCTGACAATTGGGGTGAGGCTTATTCTGCCCAGTGTGGCATTTGAGCAACATGGTCAATTAGGACAGAAAGATCCGAGAGATGGGCCCAATGAGATCACTGACCACACTGTCATTCCAGAGTATTTCAGGGAACCAGGAGGCCTGAGGCCACCCTTGATGAGGGGCCAAGAGTCATTCAGGAAAGAGAGCAGGTGGGTATCAGTGGGTTCCGTAACTGGACAAAGGAGAAGTGCCCCAGATCTGCATTGTGATGTAATGAGTATAGACAGAGCCAGAGACAGCAGAGATAACAGTGACCACAACGGAAGCAGAAGCTTCAGGAATCACCTCGTGTACCAGAAACCAGGCTGCAGGGGTGCTGAGTACTGAGAAGCCCAAGCTTGTGGAGTTAAACACTCCTTAATAATAGAGAGAAGAAGGGAGTTGGAGGAAGGTGACCACACCCTAGTCTGTATCTCTAGCTTGACCACCCCCTCCTGCACTCCAGATCCTAAAAAACACTGGCCTACTGGACATTCCCACCATTCACCCAACCAAAAATTAAGAATCATCCTCGATGCCTCCCTCTGTCACCCCTCCACACCAAGCAGTCACCAGGCTTCACCTCCTGCCTGATGCGTTGGCCAGTGCCCTGGGTCAGGCCTCTCTGTCACTCACTTGGGTAGCCTCCCCCCTGGTCTCTGCCTTCTATCTTTTCCCTCTTCAAGTCATCTTCATATCACCCTTGCTTAAAACCCTTTCAGGGTCCCCACAGCTTAAAGAAAAAGGCCCCCAGCACGACACGCATGACCCTTCAAAATAATGCCATGATGTTCTCTCTGGCCATAGCCCTACACTTCTTCTCCCATATCCTGGGTTCTCCTGGCAGGATTCCTAATGAATGCCAATGCCAGTTTTACAAGGGCATTCCCCATAAGAGGACCTATGAGCAGCTAGAGTGTCCAAGGTAAACACTCAAACTAAGAGCAGGGAAACATCTATCTGCCCACAGATAGAACAACAAGGCCCTTGTCATCTTCTGAGACTCAGACACAGAGAAAATATCCCAGGAGTATAAATATGGATTCCAAAGAAATGACCATGAAGAAGAGGCCCGAGACCACAGCTAGGTCTACAACACTGTCTGTGGCCCACACTTGAAGGCACAAGTTATTATTCTCATTCAGTAATTATTCACTAATCCCATACAAATGATTGTACACGTCTGTCTCACTAAAGCCTTTTGTTTTAAAAGGCCCCAATTTAAGAATTCTGCATACGTGTAACAGGACTAGTGCAACAAAGAAGATTTTGGCTTCTCCATCGCCAGAGCCTCCCTCCTCGGTAACTTATTTCCCAGGGGACTAGTGGACAGCCCTAAAGTTCAGGAGAGTTCCCTTCAGGTAGATACAGGCTCCCAAACCCAGCTGTCCCTCAGATCAATGAGGTGTCGAGACGAAAAACTTGGCAAAATCCTTTCCTCCTTCTTAATGGCAGCAGAGACAAAAGAAGAGGCCTCCCTCACCATGGAGATAGGAAATTGTCTAATGATTCTCTGACTCAGCCCAAGGCAGGGATGATGTGATTAAATAGCACTCAAGCCCAAGCAAAGGAGACATTCTGTTCTTGCTCAGACTCCTCCACTTGAATCCAATTGTCTCTAGAGCACTTATCCCTTTCAAGTGGCACAGAAATACTAAGTGCCATTTCCCTCCACACCGAAGTGTATCTAAGGTATGGCAGGTATGGCACATGCCCCGGGCACCACTTGAAGGGAGGCGCCACCAAGCAGTTTCTATTAACCATTGCAGTGTCCATTGCCAGCTGTGAGAGATCACTCAGTAAGTTAAAACTAATATGTACTTTCATATTTGAGAGCCTCCATAGGTGAAGGCAGACTGAGTGATCTTGCTCTGCTGAGTGCAGAAAGCGAAGAAACTGAAAAAAATGACTTTGAACACATCATAGACCAATTTTCATCAGTGAAAGCAAGGAAGGTGTAGCTGTAATTTTCACGTAGTATCACAATGTGTTAAGGAGAAGATTAATAAGCTTGACTTGTATTTTTGAGCTGATATTATGGTAATGTTATCTAAAAGATGGGCATCAGATATTTGGATGGAGTGTAATTTCAGTGCTTGCCATAGGTGCTGTCATCTGTAGATATGCCCTGCTTCCATACGGCAATGGCTGCTCTGTGTTCATGTGGTGCTTTTGGGAGCAGGTGTCTCAGACCAGACTACACGCAACACCATACCTTTGTTCCTACACCTCTTCTCAAGACCAACTGAGACACAGGAAGGCTGAATAAGAGGCTGTGAATGGCTCAAGGGCTAAAGCCAGGAATGAAAGTAGAGTCAAGACCTTACAATAACCAAACCTTTGTTCCAAACACCAGCCCTCACTAATTTCCTTAGGAAATTGATGTTTGAGCACCAGAGGCATTGCTGCTGATGTATACAAAACAGTGTTTTATCTGTACACTACGAGTTGGACCTCTAGAAAGGTGGCAGCCTTGTGGCTTGAGCCATGTCCCAGGCTCAATACGTCTATATGGGTTAAACTTCAAGAATTCTCATCAATCACTTCTGGGAAAGGACTGGAACTCAACCCATCCAGCACCAAGCAGGCACACAGTAATCAGAGGGATACTTACTCGGATAAGGTCCATTTCTTGGCTGCTCTCCACAAAGGTCCAGATCTTGGGGCTGAGTTCTTCCCACATGCCTTCCAGATCATGGAACACAGCCAGCTCCTGGAAGGTCTTGTTCACCTGGAATCAGGTGGGGAGCAAGGGGTGGCAGAGAAAAAAGGGAGAGGCAGAGACAGTGAGTAAGGCGGCTGCTTCCTGAAAAGATGCCCCATCACAGAAGCCCTTTGCTAGTGTTCCTCCACCTCCAAGAACTGCCTGCCTACAGCTATGATTCAAATACCCCAGGTGGGGGAGCTGTCCCTAAACAGCTTGATCTGGATCAGACTCGAGGTTCCCACTCTTTGACAATCCCAGAAGAGCCAGAGTATGCCCAGCATATTCCATCTGAAGCCACCTTTACTTTTTTGCCCCTAATTTTGGGAGGTTTACAAGGACAGAGTCTTAGGCCTGGGCATCTTACCTCAGCCATAACCTGCCTTGTGGCTGGAGTGTCAGGTGTATATAAGATCTTCCCTACAAGCAGAGGCTTGAGAGCTTTCCAGATAATGCGGGAAAGAGGACTGGACTCCAAATTCTTCATCAAATCGTTGCAGTAAGGGGCTATGGAGAAAATGAAAGACAAATACTTATACATACATGTGGTCATATACTCATGGACATGCCAGGCAGAAAGGGGCAGAAAGGTAGAACAAACAAGGGCTTTGGGGCCAGATTCAGGGTCCTGGGTTCAAATTCCAGCGCTATCACTTACTAGCTGTGTAACAAATGACTTCACTTATCTGAGCCTCGGTTTGCTCATCTATGAAAATGAAGTTAATAACATCTACTTGGCAGAGATGTGGGAGGACTAAGACACTACCTACAAAGCGCCTAGAACAATGCTGTTTAAACAATCAGAACTTAAAATCCTGATGATGGCTAACTCACAACTGAGATGCTGTGAACAAAGTGTTTTCACTATGCACAAGCCCCCATAACTCTTGATTCATAGTCTCACGGCAGCCCTCACACTCAGTTCTCACCAAAAGCCACCAGTACTATTGAGAGCAACCAGAAGGCTGAATTCTAACTTTAGTTTTTAAGCTGAAACCTGAATTTTCCCTTTAACTAATATATCCAAAATGCAATTTTCCTCCTTCTCATCACAAGTATACTTACATAGAATAAAAAACTCAAAACTGAAAAATCCAAAGCTAATCACAGACAAACAGGGTTTGATTATCCAGAAGGGTCCCTGAATTTTTCTTTTATTTTATTCTGGGTTTTTTTGTTGGTTTGTTTGTTTTTAAGATAGTAAGCATCCTCTAGTAAGCATCCTCTGTATGTTGGAAACATAATAGAATTAAAGAAAAAAAAAAAGATCTTCTCACAATTGTATCAGTTGGGCAAATGAAAGCTCCCTTGGGCTGACTTGCAAGCTGGGGAGACGAAGGGATGACATTTCTTAAAACTGCCTCGAAGGCCATCCTCCTCAGGCTTGTAAAGCAACCTACAACTGCCTGGAGTGCTTTACTCCAGAGAAGAAGAAAAGGTTCTTGTGTTACAGTAACGCACAAAAACCTGCCTCAGTCAGTGTCTGAAAGACACACCTGCAGTTGAAAATGGAAAAAGGCTCACCTGCACCATGTTTTCAAGGAAAAGGATACCATTGTCTAACACTGTAACACTGGCTCTTCACTGCCACTGGGCATAGGACACACATCCCCACAAAACTGCCCAAGTGCGGGAGGCGGACATGGAGTTACAAGGTTCTTAAACACTGTCTTGCCGCTAAGAACCAAAAACAAAGAGCAGATGGAATGATCTACCCTAATGGTACACACACACCACAAATGACAGGTATTTCAGAGCAGGGCTTCAAACTGGTTCATTCCAGTTCCACCCCCTGCTGAGAATCTGCATTTCCACACACCCCAGATATACTGAATCAGAATCTACATTTTAACACGATGTATACATAAGAATCACCTGGGGGATCTATAAGACTCACCTGGGGACCTTGTTAAACTGTAGAGTCTGATTCAGTATATTTGGGGTGGAAATGCAAATTCTCAGGAGGGGGTCAAACTGGAATGCACTGGTTTGAAGCCCTGTTTCAGAGGCAGTGTGGGTTACTGGCATGGAGCTAGGCAGATCCAGGTTGAATCCTAGTTCTTGCTGATTAGCTGTGGTGTGCTTTTGGCCAGGTCACTTAACTTCTCTGAGCCTATAAAATGTGGGGTTATAAAACCTTCCTGCAGGGTTATCATAAGGGTTAAAAGAGGTAACTTAAATAAAATTCACAGTATATAAGAAATATTCCTCAAATGTTAGCTTTTATTTTCATTATTATTACTTTCACTGTTATTTTTAAATTTTTATTATAAAGCTTACCTCAATGGTTATAATAATAATAATTTCTAAAGGATCAGCATCTCATCATCTATTACTGTGGGACCCACCCCGTATATCCCAGAAAACTGGGAAGAGTGGTTTTCAATCATTCATTCATTTGATGAACATTACTGTGCATCCCTTAGATGTGGCAGGCACCATTCAAAGACTGGGGACAGTTAGCTGATTAAGAAAAGACTCTCTCCTCCAGGAGCTCAGAATCTGGTGGGCAGATAGACATGTAAACATCCAGTGCTGCTACAGAGCTTAAAAATGGTAAGCATAAGGTCCTGTGGGCATCCTTCCTGGAAGGGGTGACACAGGGCTGAGTCTAGAACTAAGGCGGGTATGAGGCCAGGGCTGGGGCCAGCACAGACACTCACTTGTAGAATTGTCATAGAAGGTGCCAACATCTTCTCCTGTGTCATTGCCTCCAAAGAGGGCTTTGTAGTTGTTGTCCTCATACCAGTTGAGGGACTTGATCTTCAGGCCCCCACCCTCAGGATGGCCACAGACAATGCGGGACACTGCCTGGTATATCTGTGTAGGGGAGCTGGAGCTGTTCACATTGGTCAGAAACATCACCTCCTGCCGCATGTCACTCCAACTCCTCACGGTGAAGAGCTAGCATCAGGGATGGGGAGGAACAGGAGAGGGAAGGGGAAGGAGAGAGAGGTGTAAGGCAAGGGGCAGGGACAGAGAAGAGAAAGAAACGTCTTATTTTCTCGATTTCTCAAAAGCCAGATCCCAGAACATATTTTGTCTGATGTCGGCTTCTCAAAGCCTTGTGACAGGTTCTCTAGAGCTTTGCTACTCAATTTGTGGTCCACGCACCAGCACCATCAGCATCACCTGGGACCTTCATTGAAATGATAATTCTGAAGCCACTCTGCCGACCTGCAGAATCTGCATATGCAGTTTAATAAGAAGCCCAGGTGATTCCTATGCACATTTAAGTTTGAGAAAGCATAGTCTAGAAGTTAATGGAGCCCCGGGAGATGGGTTTTACTCCTCTGGGGGTTATCTTCTCGTTTATAGAAGAGAATGCTTTCTCTAAACAGTATGTCTGACTACAGATGATTATATCAGGAACTGCTCACATCCAGGATTACTCTGACTCACTTCAGTGCGGAAATTCAGAAGCCCTCTGCCCCTTGGGAAAAAAGGTACTATGTGTGAAGTCCCATCTCCCGGTCTCAGTTAAATGTTAGGTAATGAAGAAAGCGTTAAGGCAGGAGGCCTGAATTTGAATCCCAGCTATGTTCCCCATTAGCTTACAGGCCCCATTTCTCATGAAGATGATGATGCTAAAACAGTGTGGTGAGGAGCAAATCACACGATGTACCTGCAAGTGCCCTGCCCAGAGAAGCCCCTGAATAGGATGAGGCAGGAGCACCAGGAGCCAGTGGGCACCCCTGTGACCTACACTCAGTAAGCATCAATGATAGTGCTTTGTCTCACATACAAATGCACTCCAGCTCCTTGTGGAGTTCTTGGCCCAACTGTTCTTACTATTAAATATTTATAGAGCACTTTGTATTTTCAAGCATTTCACAATAAATCATTAATAAATCCCCACATTCCTTGAACTGTCACTGCATGTTCTCACCACCTGGGAAGACTGAGCCATGGACAGCAGAGAAGAGAGGCTGCAGGCCCTACACACACCCTGGAGAAAGCCTGGATTCGGGCTCCATGTGCCCAGTTTTCTACCTCACAGAGCCTGCTGGTTCTACAGTCCTGGGCACTGCAGACCTTTGACTCTGCTTCCAGAGAGGAAGCTGGCACTCAGGATGGGTTGGCTATCACAAAGACTCCTCCCTCCAAAGAGGGAGCATCCAGCACACTTCACAAGAACACAATTAGGTCAACAGCTTTTATCTTTATCTTTTCACAACCTGTATGAATATACAGGCAGGGGAGAGGTGGCCAGGCTCCCTTGCCTTTTGTTGGGTTCATGGAATAGACTTGGAAATTTTTAAACAACAGCTAGTAAGAGCCATTCACTCCTCTTTCCTCAAGCTGCCATCATCTGGCCACCCCTAATTAATAAAAAAAATTTTCTCCCCACATGAAACCAGTACGTCTTTGTATAGAAGCATCATAAAGTATTGAGTTATTTCAAACTGCTGATCATTCCCTGCACTTGTCTTAGAGGCAAACTCCTACTCATTCTCCTAGACCCCTCAGCTCACGCTCCACACGTCCTCCATGAAGCACCCCCTGACTCACAGGGAGGAGGTAGCCATTCCATCCTCAGCCCTGTAACCCGCAGCCGTTTTCCATCCTTAAATACTGTGCTACTTTACTGTAAGAATGAAAGAGTAATTAAAGTTCATATTATTGAGTGAGGAGAAGAATTCTTGTTCAACTCTAACTCTATGCAAATTATATTACAGCAGACCCCTGGTATTCCAAAGTGAAAAGTCCAGGACCTTCCAAAACTCCAAAAGTCATGGCCATGCTCATCATCTAGCCAGTTTTCAATATCTGCTCCAAGGTTTTGAGGTGAAGATATTCTTACCCCCAGAGTAAAAATTTTTTTTTTTAAATGTTGTTAGCTCTTCTTTTCTCCTCACAAATACCAGGGGTTTGCTGTATTTTCAAAAAATAATTCCTCATGTAATATTTATTCACTTTTGTAGCTGCTGTCTTTTCAATAAAGGAATGTTCTACCTTACAGCTGTTTCTTATTAAATAAACTGTGCAAATGGACTTGGTCATTAAAAATAAATAAATAAATAAAACAGCCCATGAAAGGTGCTTGATAATCATTTGCTGAGTGAATGATGGATAAATGATTCTCCGCCTTCTCAATCCACTGCAATGGCTTCCTAACTCATCTCCTTCCTTCCTCTCTTACCCCCGCCACTCTTCTCAATTCAGCAGCTTGAGTATAAACAGTTTATAAACTCTAGGTCACATTATGTCCCCCTCTGCTCCAAACCCTCCACTAGCTTCCCATCTCGGTTAGCATAAGCCCCAAATCCCTAGCAGGGCTGCATGGCCTCACCTCCATGCTCTCTGACCTCATCTCCAACCAACCCCCCTCACTTGCTCACTTGATCCAACCACACTTCGCCTCCTTCCTGGTATTGAAACATGTTCCGTAAGTGTCCTCAAGCACCAGTGTCTTTGTGCTTGGAATGCCCTCCTCATATCATCATTTCCTTCACGTCTCTGTTCAACTGTCACCTTATTAGAGAAAACTTCCCTAATCACCCCCTTTGAAAGAGTACCCCAACACTCTCTCCCTTACCCTGCTCTTTTTTTTCCATAGCATGCATCCCTACTGCCACATTATACATTTATCTGTGATTTCTGTCTCCTTCCCCATGCGAGCGATATAAGAACAGAGAAGTTAGTTTTTTCATTGCTAAGTCCCAGCATCTAGCAGTGCCAGGAACCTAGAAGGTGCTGGGTGTATAAGTCAGATGTTGCCTTCCTGTCTTGCTTCCCTATCTGTCCAGGCATACCTTCTCTGTCACCCAGGCATGAACTCATGCCAACTCAGTCCCACTTTCCACTCCATTGCCAGGTCCTGTTAATTCATCATTTCTTTCTTAGAAGGCTCTCTTTTCCATTCCAGTTACCATGAGAGTTCATCTGAGAAAAAAGTGGGTGATTGTGGGCAAATTGCTTAACTTGTCTGAGCCTTGGTGCCATCTGTAAAATGGGCACAATACTACTCACCTCTCATTTGTCATGTCAACTGTACAGGGAAACTGGGTGAAACTGCCTGAACCAGAGCAGCCTCACAGGAAATGTTGCTTCTTTTTCTTTTCAAGAGCTTGTGCTTTGGGCAAAACAACCAACTCTCTTTCCAAACACTGACCAGAGAAACAACAAGTCAGACAATGAATGACTCGTAGTCAAAGCAACTGGGGGTTGTTCTACTGAGACGAGTGGGTAGTCCTTGCTTGTCCTGGACCAGGGTGCAAGCAGGGCGCAAGGAAGCAGCTGCCAAGGAAAATGTATATCGCTTAGTTGGAGAGTTTCCGCCACATCAGCAATGGGACTATCATATGCTTCCAATTATTTTTTTTACCCCAGACAAAAGGCAGGCCCAGTGATGTAAGAGGAAACAGATGTAATCAGACCCTGAGTTTAGAAGCAGCCTCCTCTGTTACAGTCCCTGCTTTGCTTTCTCTAAGGCCAGAAATCAAAGAGGGGGAGGAAGGCTGGGAAGGGACCTGCTAGGGTAGTACAGGGCACATCCATTTCAGATAACAGGAATGCTGAGGGTTTCCCACCCGAGAAACAGCTATTGACATGCAGTCGGTTTCTGTTTCGCTCTCTGTTTCCTGGAACAACCTCAGTTGACCCAGGTTCTCCTCCCAGTGCAAGGTCACCAGCATTTCAAAATGAGAGTAACAAACAGCAGGCTAGAAGAAGGCTTCTCCTACTGACAGGAGACCAGAAAGCCAAGCCTCTTAACTCAGAGACAAAAACAGAATTAAAAGAAGGAAGAGAAGATACCACAAATAAATGCACTGAAGTGTCTGTCAACAGTGTTTAATCTCCGTGCTTTCTGTATTTCCCTAGTGTTCTGTACTTTCCATAACGAACATGCAATACTTTTATCCTCAGAAAACATGAAGTTAATTTTGATATTTGAAAAACTGATACAAGTACCAAAAAATGGGGTGAGTTAGAGAAGCAACTAACCTAAAGCTGGACCGAGTCTGAGAAAAATTTCCCCACAAGTTATTCCTATCAGATGTCCTATACACTGAAGCTTGCATTTTTTCTGACCACTGCCCTCTGGCTCTGCTCCTTACACACTGGGGATCCAAAGAGTTGCTGATTTCCAAGTCTAATTTGACACAAGGCTGGGAGTCAGAAAAGCAGACCACAGGCTGGCTGGGAGGCAGAGGAAAGGTTAACTGCTTTTGCAAGCACCTACAGGCTCTCTGATCCTACCACAAAAATTATTCTGATACATCTGTCAACACATGGGCCTGAAAGGCAAACTCAACTTAATGTTCATCAAGAGACGCTATTCCCAAGGTTGAACCTCAGAAGCCAGATGTCTGCAGGGGAAAGATGATTACAGGTACTATGTTACTCCCTCTTGTTAGAAAATGTTTTGGTAAAATGACTGTCCTCGCTACTGAAGAAGAAATATGGAGGAGATGCTGGCAGGACAAAAGTAGTACATGGGGTGGATGGGTGGGGGATTCTTGTCTTTACAAATGTGTCATTACCTAGGGACAGAAAGAAACAATGGGAGACAGTTCTAGACTAGATACCAGGCCTTTAGCCACTAACTAACTCTGAGATATCCTTGGGTCTCAGTTTCCTCATCTGTAAAGTAAAGAAATCAAACCAGATAAATTTTTAAGATCACTTATGCTTCTAAAATTGATTTTACATTTTATATGATATTCAAATCAAGAGGACCCTGTGGATACAACTGCTTCTTTGGTGCCCAAATGGTCAGCTGGCTCTGACTTAGCCAAACTCAGAGATGCAGCAAGTGATGTTCGATGGTCTGCCTTCTGCTGCCCGGAAGACACAACTTACCTCTTGGGCCAGGGTCCCAAGACTATCCAGCAAAGTTTTTGTGGCTTCAGCCAGCTCCTTGCTTGGGAAGGGAGATGAGGAGTTTAGTTCTGCCTGTAATGAAAAAAGATACTTTTGTTTCTGAGCTCAAATGTAAACCTAAAATCTCTACTGAAAACAAACAAGGTAATTAAAACCATTCAGTCTTGAGTTTAAAAAATGAGAAACCTAACCAAAAGAAAAGATACTACAAATATTCTAACTGTATACTTATATGTTGTTTTCTTCAAATAAGAATTACTAGCACTTGGATGATTGCTCTTAAATGTATATATGAATACATATTTAAAACTAGATAATATGCAATAGATAAAAATATCTCGTGGAAAGTGTGTGTGTGTACACGTGTGCGCGCGTGTGTCCCACTGCAACTCTGGCCACAAATTCTCAACTCCGTCTATGATTCTGCAAGATGGGCAATATGGATTGACCTTCAGGAACACGTTTGTGATGGTTCACAAGTAAAGAAGCAAACTTGAAGTTTAAAGCTGCCAAAAACAGGGGAGAAAGGAACTCTCTCTCTCACTCTGCACAAGTCAACACTGTTTCTAACAGTGGAAATTTAATATATATCTCTTATGTACATGTCCTGGTTTTCATGAAATTTTTATCTCTTCTAATTTATATATTTAGTTGCTATCATATGCTGCCTATCTGCACAACAAACATAAGAAAATAATTAATTAGGCCCAAGGAAAAGATAAAATTAGGGCAGAAAGTCTAAGCTAAAAAAGAAAAAAAAAAAAAAAACAAATACAGACTCTGAGGCTAAAGTGGCTACAGTTGAGCCTAAAATTTGTTTCCAGGCTTCCAAACAGAAAAAATAGAGAGTAAGTGTCATTGTTCTTATTTGTCAAATAGGGGAGGGGGGAATGCTTCACGGAAAAATCTAGCTTTCCTTGGTTTTTCTACAGCCATTATGTCATTCAGTTTCAGACACCCCTGAAGTCTACAGAAGGCTGGGCTACTTTGACATTTCTCTTATATGAGAGATTGCTATGAAATTATAATGAAGAGTACATGGAAAATAAACCTTATAGCTGCTGGAAGTGGGTGGAACTCACTATTATCTCTGAGAAATAGCAGTCTGGATGTTTCCCTTTTTCTCAAAAAAAAAAAAAAAAAAGAATTTCAAATCCAGAAGATCAAGTTAGAATCACCATGATCATCAAAATACCCAAACATAATCCTGCAATGAACATTTCTGAGCAAATGTCTACAGATTTTATGAAAGAGCTCGTCTAACCTGATTCCTGAGCTTCTCCGAGAAAGGCATACAAGCAGAATCCCAGAATTCCACTCACAGTCCTCTGACAGAACGAGGGTTTTCTTTGAACGCTATGTTCAGATAGAGCTCTGTGACACAGATCACAGATAGTGCTGGATAGCCTTACGTGGAGACTAATTCACGAGTAAAAACAGGTGGACAGGTGGTGTATTTTGGTTTTGCACTTTTTCTCTTCAAGTTCATTATGTAACTACAGGTTCCAAACTAGAACTTAAACCTGCAGAGAGCTTACAGTATGTAAAACTTGCACAAGCTGAGAGGTCTTAATTGGAAGATACAGCAGGTAAAAAGTGTTTCTGTGCTTACCATGAAGCCCACAAGAAGATGTATGTTCAGGATTGTATAGCAAACACACCAGGACAAAGCAATAAATGCCAAATTACTGTAAATTTTTAAAACTTAAAATTTGATATTTAATTATTTTATAAAGTATGAATGGAAATAAGATTTTTATCATTCTTTCTTGTCACTCTGCCCCTTTCTCTGGTCATGGGCACCTGGGGTGGCTGCTTCTTGGAAGATTCCTCAAATTCTCCCATTCCTCCATTTTCTCAACTATATGACAGAGTTCAGAATACTGGGACGTGTATCACAAGGTTCCCATGAAGAATAAATTAGAGGACATGTACAAAGCACCTTGCACAGTGCCTGGCACGTAGTAAGTCCTCATGATTATAAACAATTTCCTCCCCTGCCTTTCTTTTGTCTTCCTCAAAAGTTCTCTGACAAAACTGAAGGGCTCTCATCTGCAAACAGGTTGCTCAGTTCTTGAAAAAACATACATCCTCCCTTCCTCTTCTTGGTTAGCTCTCAATGAACTTTTTTTCCTATTGGAGTGTCCTTCCTCTGCTAGAGAGAGAGCTAGAGTTGTCATCTCACAGCACATCAGCCACACTCCAACGTGATGTTTCTGAAATTATAGATACTCCTCACTGCAATGCTAAGACATCCTCATTCTAATTCCTGAAGGCTCCAAGACAGGACACGTCTCTTGCATCTGTAACTCTTTTCTTTTACTTAGTGTTTGCTGAAGTATGAAACAAAAGATAGTGTTAAGAGAGAAGAAGATATATCTATATATATGTGTAGATACATACACACACACATTTTTATCTTAATATATTCATGTGGTGTACCTTCTATTTATAGCAAGCGATACTGATTTTACTTTTATAGTAGTGATAGAGTTTCCTTTCTAATTAAATTTACTACACACAAGAAGTGAGTCTATTAAAAGGAAACATTCAATAAAAATGGTATAAATATCCAATAAAAATTCAAGTTGCACTTGAATTTGACCCAAATCATGAGAGGCCTGTAAACAGCAAGGTTTTACTAATAAATGTAGTCTTTGGAGAGCCTGCCTCAGAACCACCTGGGTGCTTGTTAAATATGCAGATTCCCAGCCCACTGAATCAGAAGTTAAGAGTGGCCGAGGAATCCTCCGGGGTTCTTCTGTACACTGAAGTTTGAGGACCACTGAGACAAAGTACTTGGACACGGTTCGTACCTCTTTGCATTATTCTTTGCACACACGTTTGTTTATTCCATATCTGGTCCATACAATACTGTGTTTCAGATTTTGAAGCAGTGAAGAGAGGCCAGTAAGTTCACCTTATCCTGAACAGAATCTAAGATGGTGTCAAAAGCATGGGAAGCCAGGTATGCCATACCAATTATGTATACAGTCACCAAGGGCAAACAAAGTGTCTAAAAGCTCCAGACCCAACACTGCTCCATCATCCCCATTACCAGTTATCTTTCCCATGAAGAGTACAAATCAATTCATTGTTCTTAGAATATGTTCTCTCCATCAGAATGTATTTAAATCTTCATAGGTAATGATTTTTTCTTCAGGTTTTTTAATTTAAATGTCTTAACTTTGGAGCAAGCTATTCTTCTTGACTTAAAAGCTATACAATTCAGCAAAACTCCATGCACCCAGCAGGGCCTACTGCATGATTGTTTAACTCATAAATGTAGTTGATTATGGACACAAACATAAGGACTTGTGACATTTACTATGGACATCAGACCATTACATATACAAACACCAATACAATATCAATCTTACTATATGACGACTTTGTTGTCATAGTCTATGCTTCTGTTTGTGTGATTTTGTTTTTGGTCTCTAATAAAACATTGGCTAAACACACCCGTAAGTAATAACGTAGAACAGTTAATGCCATTGTTAGGATCTTTTTTTACACTGTTTGTTTAAGATGAAATGCTCTGTTTTTCATTAGTAGTATTGGCAACTGGGAGTCAACACAAACAAATTTCCATTTTCAAAGAAATGTGGTAGGAATTATACATGCAAGTATGGTTGATATCTCAGGTTAAAAAAACACACACAACTCAAATTCAGTCAGCATCAAATTTAAAACTTGAACTATCCAGATATTTTGCTCAAGACTTCATTTTACTTTTCCATACAAAGAAATGATGGCTGCAAATACACAAATTTAATAGTACAAATTGGTAGGGAAAGGATGGGCTATTCAATAACTGTTGCTGGGACAACTGGTTATTCATACAATCAAAAATTCATAAATTTCCCATCTCATACCACTACACAAAATACATTCTTGGTAGAGTAAAGATCCAGAAGTAAAAATGAGAATTTATAGAAGAAAATACAAAAAAAAGTTCTTATAAACCTGGGGTAGGGAAAGATTTCATAAACAAAATATAAAAAGCCCAAACCAAAATGGAAAAGTGAATCCAACTTTTAAAAGTGAAAACTGTGCATCTAAAAACACTGTAAACAATCTGGGAGGGAAAAAAAAAACAATAATAACAAGTCAAGGACTAGAAGAATGGATTTTTTAAAATTTAGTATAAAAATGGAATTCTGTTTCAGTTAAAATGATTCAGAGGCTACATATAGCAACACTGATAAATCACAAAGACAAAATGTTGAGTGAAAAAGACAAGCTGCAGATCAATGTGCACATTTATACAAAGTGAGCACATGCAAACTAATCCTATATATTGTTTACAACAAAATATAAGTATATATGGTATAAAATATAAAAACATGCAACTTCAGGATAGTGGTTATGCCTTGAGAAATGGATGTTCAGGTGGTATCAACTGTATCTGTAAGTTTACTTCTCGAGGAAAAAAAAAACCAATATGATGAATGATCATATATGGGTGTTCTGCATGCTACTCTCTGTACTTTTTCGGTATGTTTTAACTATCCCATAATCTTCTTTTTTAATTCAAAGAGGGACGAGAGAGGAAAGAAGGAGGGGCACTGAGCCAGAATGAAGGAAGGAAAGAATATATGTCGGCATGAGTACATATGAGAGCTGAAGGATACCTTTCTTGAATAAAATTAACCCCAGGAAATAATTAATGCCTTGAACCTAGGCCACAAAATGAAGGCTGAGAATCACATGCCTGCACCAACTAACTGTGGTCTCTTGCTCATACTTTAACTTGACAAAGGCAGACAAAGCTTCCCAAAGCTTATTTCCAAAAGCGCTTCAGTAAACAATCCACAACTTGGAATTACTACTACTATTTTTCCTGACCAAAAAAATTCCCTTGGCTATGAACTCATATAAGCCTCCACTGACCACAGGAGGCAAATGATTTTCTTGTATGAAATAAGGAAAAGGGAGAAAAAAGAGGGAAAATAAAACCTTTAATGAAGGACTGAACTTCCTGCGTTAAGCTAACTGAATTCATGCATTATTTAATATTTTTAGATCATAACTAAATACTGTAATATCATTAGAGGAAAAATTACACA